AAAATTAACTAAATATTGAGTGCAAAAATAAATCACTCATAGATGATTAATTGGGATATACAGTGTTGAAATTAATTCACTTCGCGGGGTCTCTTTCTGTCCTGGCTGAGACCCGCCGGCTGAGACCCGCCGCCGCCAGCTAAGGCTTGTTCTTCTGGCGATCACGCTTTTCTGTACCATCTAACGGGCCCCTTCAACTGTGGTCGTGAAAAAATGTAGGTGTTGACAAATAAATGGATTCAGCTCTGCTTGTTGTGAAATAAAATCTGCCGTGGTTTCAAAGCTAAAAATCCAGGAGACCTTATATAAATATTATTATTGTTGACCAGTAAAGTTCCATTTGCGTATGACGTACGACAGATTTTATTAAGAAAAACATATCAGAATGAAAAACTGAGTATGTGCGCAGAATTGTAATGTCTAGGCCTTTATATTTACTTGATTTTAGATTTTTCTCAAAGTAGGATTAGAATTAATATTTTGCGAAAATATGTAATTTTTCATTCTGAGAAACTGTTGCTCTTTGAACCATTATTTATGGGTATGGACACCTTGTATGTTCCAAACCCATCGCACTTACAAATGGTTCCAGGTCCACGTAAATATTGATGAGTCTGTGCAACAGTCTCGGCGTATCCTCGCAGTTCTGCTTCACTTTCGCAGATGCGCTTGTTATAGCTGCCAGGGCGAAGAAGTTCAAGATGCCCCAGAAGTCGCTCGCTCTGGTGTTTGCTTCGCTTATGGACTCCCCTTGGGAAAAAGCTATAAAGTCGAGAGCTACTGTGTAACCAAGAGAGATTATGGTCGCCGACGTTAGGCCGAAGTAAATGGCCAATTCTGGCCCGCAGGTCTTGTTGAGGAGTTGGCTTAGTTCGCATGTTTCATCGTAAAGCATCAGAAGCTGAAAAAAAAGCGAGTAGAAATAATAATAGGGTACTTGAATAGCCAACTTTATGACTAGAACTGTGTCCATTGTACTTTTCAATTTCAATTTGTAAGTACGTAGGAAAATGCGGTATAGACGAAATTATATAAGTTATATGAAAAAGTTGTTGGTTATATGAAAAATAACTCTTAGTAATGAAATTAGGAACTTTCAAACCAATAAGTTAATCTTTACCTTGTCGAGCATATTTTGACCGTCGTTAGATAGTGTCTTCAGCAGTTGATGAGGCCTAACTTTGCTCTTCCTCAGGGAATAGACGTCCGTACAGGATAGTTCTGGATAAGTGAATTCCTCTAGAGTTTTGTTGATAATCATCAATCTATTGGAGCATCCAGAGAACATGGCGATGTAGGTGCATACGTATACCATGCAGCTAAAGCCAGGAAGGTAGAGGCATATCCACAGGAATAATGGGACGGATCTAAGATAAAATGTGTAAATTGGGACTGTTCTAAGTTAGTACTTGGATTAATAAATGGTTTATTCGTTATAAACAAAAAATGTATATATTTTCGGTGTAACATTCAAAAGTGAGAATGCGGTAACAAGTGCTCAATTTAACATAAGAAAAAAAGTTTAAGTAGCGCGTCTTAAATAATTTGGTCGTATACAAAATGGTTGTTAGGTATGTAGGTTTGGATAATGAAGGGGGTGATTCTTTAGATTTATTTGTAGATTGTCATTTGGCAATAAGTTTCCTTCAACTAAACACCTTAGTTTTCGAGTCTTAGGTGTCTTTTTAAAAAATATCACATCTACGTAAATATTTCAAAAGAATTTTGGTATAGGTATATTAATCAAGGCGAGAAAAACTAATTTTATGATTTTTTAAACAGATCACTCCCTAGAAGGTTTTTTCAGGATTAGATTGATGCGTTAGAAGAGACTCACTAGCCAAAAACACTTATAGCATGTTCTAATATCCATTATCTTTCTAACTATTATGTCTAGTTCACAAAACAAACACTGTTGCCAATCAGAGATATATTTATGCCGATCAACTTTCCCTAACCCGACCAAACTGTTGCCAATACATCAATTTTGACAAATATGAAGTGGAAATACCTTTGTTCCAGTTCTGACGTATTTATTCTAACAATATAATTCTCGTTAAGGTTAATACGTTTTTCCCACCGATACTCTAATGCTTCCAGAGCCTCTTGCAAAAAATATTATGCAACTTCGGCAAATCGCACATATATCATCCCTGCTTGAAAAAATTCTCATAGAAATCTTTTTTCTCTAAACTGTTAAAAATATTATCCTTTCTATAATCGGAACGTATTTGGGGACCACCCTGTATAATTAAAAATATTTACTTAACTGTTTAAGAAATTGTTTTTTCCATTTTTGTAAAATATAATATGTAGAAATAGGATTTAAAATAAGATTTTTTTTTAATCAATTTTGAGTTGAAATTTTAAATAATCTGTAAACGCCTTTTGCACACGATCGTTTTGTCGTGGGAAATTATGCTGAAACGACTGAAAAGATAAAACAGAGGATGTGGTAAGTCGATAAATTTATCAACACAGAGAAGTAATAAACATAAACCTTTCAAACTTCACCTATGTAGAGAAAAAGTTAAATTTTGTAACGTGTTTTTTTAGTTCATGGCGTAGCTTCGGAAGTTTCTTTTGGATTAATATACAATGTGGAACAGCCAAATGGAATAAATTGTAAATAATACATTATTAATTATGCACGTATAAACAATTATTAGGACATGAAATATTAATAATTTGAGAATTTGAAATGACATATGGTCTAAATAACAGCTTGTCTAATGATTTAATTGTTGTACGTTTAAACACATTTTTTCTGATTTTTACTACCTTTTGGCTTGGATCACGTCGATTATCAGAGCCGTAGGTGCTGAGAGTACCAGAGCTATCAGCATTATAAAAATGCAACCAGAATCATCGTGCCGTTTTGGAATCTTCAGTTCCTTGAAATCTGTGAGCATTTCGCAGAGTCTGCTATAAACATGACGGATATCTTCTCTGAAGTACGTCACTCTTATATTTATGAAGAATAATAATATCGATGAACCATACAATTGAACGCAATATTTTACTTGAGAAATGAAGCTGTATCTGTAACAACGAATTTACTAGTAGTTACATATTAAATGTTTCCTATAGTTAACTTTAGAAGCTTTAGCTTTGAAAATATTTACTACCATTTAGCTACTAAATTATTTTAACGTTCCAATTAGTATTTACCATATAAACTTTACTGTGTGAATATAGTTACCCTCTGTATCCAAATCTGTCTTCTTTGTTAGGAAGGGAGTAAAGACTCCAAACTAAAATGAAAAGATAAATTACAATGTAGAGTATGTTCCAAGTGATTAGCAGTTTGCTAGCTGGTTGAAAATTGCTTGATGATGTAGCTTGGCCCACAATTTTCGGCAGCATAAAAATAAACTTTGTTATCGATATGGCTACCATTGTTATTGGCTGAGTATTCTTGGTCTGTTCACAAATGCTGTATTTAACACGAATAATAGTGAAGGTTTTTAAATACAAATATGTACATATTATTCTACCCACTGCTAATATAGTTCCAATAATAAATTACTCCGTTCAATAATTTGCCCATCAAGTAATATTAACTTAATAGCATTGAAGTTGTATTTTAGAATATTAGATAATGCGTAATGATTGTAACAATGCTTTTGTAATAAAGGTTTAGGTTTTTGGGAATTAGCTATAAATTATATTACATTGTTTCATTTGGGTATTACAGCTGACCCAAATGACTTAAATATTTTTATTATTATTATTACTTACTGGACATCTTTAATAGCTACTATTAAATAAATGTGTATCGTTTGTCGTGCTTGCCGTTACAGTTCATAATATAACCAGAATAATGAATGTTTTATAAATTAAGCCATACATATTTAAAAAAGTTACCCTGAACTTAATAATATTATACAGGATGTTTCGTATGTACGTTCCGATAGCAATAGTGTGTTAAATTTTAGAAAAAAGATATTTTTCTATACCTATATAAAGTTCGTTGTACTGTCTTTGATATCTATGCACAGTTCAAGTCAATATATTCAATTGCTGCAGAGCTAAGTACTCGTGTTCTTGTAAACGTATGAAAGTGAGCTTATCAATTTTTTTTAATCTGATCTTGTTGTGCTCGAAAACCGTCGATTAACAATATGAGACCTTGTTGATACCGTTGGCATTTCAAAAGGTTTGGTAAATATCATTTTAAAAGATTTGTTGTGCCTTAGACCCATCAAATCTTGTTTGGTTCCAAAGACGCCCAACTTTTTGGAAAAACAGCGTCGCGTTGACATGTATAAAACAATGATTTCTGTCTACCAAGACGTCATGAAACACGGAAACACGACCCGGAAGCAACCGATTAATCGAGTAAATATCGTGCGAATGATGAACCAAGACCGAAAAAACTACGCCAAAGTCACTCAAAAATCAAGGTCATATTGACAGTTTTCTTTGAATATCGTGGCCTAGTGCATTATGAATTTTTTCCAACCAGCCAAATTGTTAATTATTTCGCTTGCGTGATGCTATTCGCCGCAAAAGGCCGGAATTATGAACAGACAACTTTTGGTTTTTGCATCATGATAATGCAGCATTGATAATTCGAGACCATTTCACCAAAAATTTAACACATATTGTTCCGCAAGCACCGTATTCGCCTGATTTAGCACCGAGTAACTTCTGGCTATTCCCTAAACTCAAAAGACCACTCCGTGGACACCGTTTCAACTCGAGGGAATAAAAGCCAAATTGACGAAAGTATTGAAGGCCATACCCAAAAAGGGCTTTTCAGACTGTTTCTAGAATTGGAAAAAAAGGTTGACATGAGTGCATTGTATCGGGTGGGGAATACTTTGAAGAGGATGTAATTGATTTTTTAAACAAATGCACTTTATTTTTTGGACAAGATGTGTCCATTGGATTTTTTTTCTCTTAGAATTGACAGTTGTACCAATGTTTTTACCAGGCTTTAAGATCCCTCTACTGTCTATCTATTCTAACTACTTCTTTCAAATTTTTAATTCCAGATTCGACCATGGACTTTGACTTTGATCTGGATGAAGACAGGATCAACAGTTTTCTTCTAAACAAATTGGAGGAAATAAAGGCTAAAAATGAAAAACTGGGCGTTACGTTGCAGGATCGACGGCAATTTTTGCATGGAATAGCAGAAAGCCTTAACACGGAGATGGACGAGACTAATATAAAAATTAGCCCGCAACCCTGGAAGAAAATATTTAACAATAAATATGTCCTGGGAGTCACAATAGAAAATAACGATTCCAGGTAAGTGAAAGCACAAGGACTACAATAGGTACTTGTTATGTCAGATGGTCTCGTGTAATTTAACCAAATATATTAAGGAAAAAAATCGGTAGGACGTGGCGGACAAAAACACGGGCATATTTACAAAAAGTTTATTCTATGTTTGCAAAGTAACATCAGTTATCGTAGATTATCCGTAAATAATTAACAATTCAAGTCTATAAGAATGTAACGTACTACTTGGCTAAAGGTTTCTATCTTATCTAAGTATCACAATAGTTTTAAAAACGTCTTATAATTATTCAAACGACGGAATTGGTGGAGTTAAGTGTACCTACGGAATTCAGTACACTTTTGGCAATTCGTTTTGACGAAAATCCTTCAGTGTGATGGCCGCTAGAAGCGTCGACGGATCCTTGTCGGGAATGCCTAGCTCGAGATACCCTTGAATGGAGTAGTTGAACAGTTCGAAGTCGTATCTGAAAAAAAAAAGAATGAAGATATTGTAAGGTACCATGCACTCTGCTAAATATGGACAGTTTTTTCCACATTCAGTGAATTACCTGTAGATGTGATAGAGTTGCAATATCTGCGACCTGGTGAGTTGCGAGTAGTATTTCTCTAGTTGACTCGCGGTTGTTCCTCTTCCGGAATTCTTCCATTCCGGTTTGATGAGGTGTTCCAGGCGGGCTTTCTTAATTAAGTACATTTGGTCCTCCTGTAGAGTTTCCGTGTGGGCTATTATCTTGAAGTTGAACATGCAGGGCGTGCAAAATTCCACAATCGGCGTCCAGTGCATGTCCAGTCGGTCTCCGTTCCTGACTGAGTCCACCAAGTACTCCACGAACTCCGGGAAGGTTGGCCATCGTTGTGTGGTAAAACTCTTTTTCTGAAAGAAAGGAAAAATGTCACTGATTAACTAATATACAGGGCCAGAAAATTCACATGGTCCATCTGCTTTTACATGAGAGCGACAAAGTAAAGAAAAGAAATCCCTGCGATAGACAAAGATGGCTATAGTGAAGACGTTTCATAATCTGAATAGTCACCGCCCGTTTCGGGTTAGAAGTGGGAGTGACTATTCAGATTATGAAACGTCTTCAATATAACCATCCTTGTCTATCGCATGGATTTCTATGACTTACATTATCGCTCTGACGTAACGGCCGATGTACCCATGGGGACTTTCCGAACCTGTATACAGATAAGTGTATAGATACACATTTTGTAAAAAAAATCATCGGTGCGCTGTCATGTTCACTTCATGTAAACAACGAAAATAATATTATAATAAATTTTAATATTGTTATACCAAAGTAGTCCTTAAGAGAATTAACAATTACACGAGTTAAATCCTTCGAAGTGGCGCACAGTGGGAAATATGAAAATGAAAATGACAATTTTTGTAACACTGAATAAAAATTAGTAGTAGAAAAAAAAACAAAAACAAAAAAATTAAATAAACAAAAAGAAAAAACAAAAAAAAATAAGAAAATAGAAAAACAATCGTTTTAAAGACTGTTATTTTTGCGCGGTAAAAGGGCTTAAGTCTTATATAAATAGAGATAAAAATGCAGTCCAACGAATAATTTCGGTAAATAATATAGATTTTGAGTTTTTAACTGAAATTGTTGAAATTTTTATAATTTATCGAATGAAATTTTATCTATCTAAATATCAACTTATTTTTTGTGGATTTGAGAATAAGTTTCAAGGGCTTGAGGTTAAGTTTCTATGGACATAGTATAGGTTTGAGCCTTCAAAAATACAAAATATTAGCTACAGAATAGAGTTTTCAGTCACATTTTTTGGTTTGGAAAATATCCTTCTTTTGACTTTCTAGCTCAGATTTCTTGGATTTGAGGTTAGATATTTAAGAATAGAGGTGAGAGACATCAAAAATAAAAAATATAAGTTCCAGAAAATAGTTTTCAAGAACTTCTACTCTTTGGTGTGGAACATATACATTCTATGAATTTCTAGCTCAGGTTTGTAGAATTTTAAGTTGGGTTATGAGAGTTTGGGGTTAGGTTTTGAAGGGTTTGAGGTTAGGTTTTTATGGGTGTAAGTTTATGGTTTTCGAATTAGGAAATATAAGCTCAAAAATATAGTTTTCAAGTAATTAACCCATAGATTCAGAAAAGAGCCAGTGTATTACTTTGAGGTTAGTTTTGATGAATTTGAGGTTATATTTTTGAGTTCAGATATGAAATTTTTGATTTTTTTATTTATAAATACCGAATTATCTTCGGTGTTGAGGCTGATGGGTCCCCACTCGATTTAAAAAATTCCTATATAAATATATCAAATCCTCGCGCCAGGATCATAAAATTAAGCATTTTTGAAGAAGAATAAAAAAGAAATAACCACTGTACGGTTAAAATAGCCGAGTGCATAGAATTATTTCCCATATTTCCCACTGTGTGACGCTTAGATCACTGGTGGGAATATTTAACAGAATAATATAGAAAATAAAATCTGTCAAGTGTTTTAGAAATTGTTTTTTTTTATTTCGGCGTTAACCTACATATATAAATGTTTTACTAAATACAAATGTTTAAAAATATAACAAGTATTATGGCATTATGCAAAACAACTTATAATATTGAATAAAAAAATTGGAATATTTAGTAAATAATAATTTTTTAATAATGTCAATAACAGTAGAATTAGTTATAAAAATAAGGTATTTTTAGTAATTTTTTATCGCGATTTACTTCTATAATAACATTTGGTTTAATAGGGTACATTATCTGTAAAAAATTGAAAACCAATTTTTTTTTAATTCGAAAAAAAAAATAGAATAAAAAAAGATCCCACTCTGGAACCTATCTCATATATTTACATAATGAAATAGAATTATCTTGAGAATTTTTTCAAAAAGCTCTTTTATGGTATAAAAATTAAAAAAAAACTCCACAAATCAAAAAGTACTATATTTATATATTTTTTTTTTTGTAAAACTACATTTCAAAGCGAACAAAATGAAAAACAAAGTTTATCAGGTATTTGAATTTTTTTTCCCAAAATATTCAAATCCTCATAACTTCCTGAGGGGTTAAAATAAAAATTTGAAAAATTCGTGAAATGGGTACTAAATAATAACAAAAAATCAGGAAAATTAATCAGTGATTTGGAATTGAATGCTCCATATTTAGCTGCGTTTTTTTTATTATATTAAGATTAAGTAATTGAATGTTCTTCGATGAGGAAAAAATAAACAAGGACATGTTGAGTGTCTGGATCTCAATCTATCGTTTTGGAATAAAAAATAAACAATTTCGAACAATGATTTCAACAGTTTCAGTGTCTCTCTAATTTCAGGTTAATTATTTTTCATTATTCACCGTTTCATATTTATTGTTACAATTAAATTGATTGTTTATAATTCATAACACTTGTGTGTAAAGTACCTTATTTCACTAATCATATCTCATTTCGTGAAGAAATTGTTACTTACACATTTATAGTACAAATATTGCTCATTCGAAAATTACGATAATTAAATATAACAAACCGCTATATTTACCTTGGTTTTGTACCTATACTTGATAATGATTTCGTTGCCCAATTTGCGGTGATGGGTATGCGGTAGTGCATATTGCAGCTTGTCTCTATAAGCGGACAGCAGGCGTTCTAACGGGTGCCGAGCTATTAAAAAGGAAATGGAAGAGTTGAAGGCTTTCTTCAGGGCTAGCAGAGAAGGCCGTGGGTACCTCTGTCTTGCTAACGTCATAGGCACTAGTTTGCTCTTCTTCAAAAATTTCGGACTGTATCTGAAATTTAAAAAGAGCGTTACTGGGTCCTGATATAAGTGTATAAATATATTTCTTGTTTTAATAGCCACTTTCACTATGATTGTTGAAATGTATTAATAAGAATTTGATCGTAAATAGGTAGTTGCTAAAGATTTTGAAGGTATTAATATATATTATATGATTGATTTTTATTCTTTTCCAATACGAACATTTAAGTAATTCATGTAAAATAGCACCTCAGATATAGCGAATTGTTTATTTGTTTTTATTAGAGGGATTAAAAATACATACAGGGCGAGTCAGTTTTTTGTAGACAAACGTTACAGGAGATAGAACACATGTTTTTAAAAAGAAAAGTTCCAATAATCATATGTCGTAGAAGGCTTCGTTTCCGAGATACTGGGTGTTGAATATAATTTTTTTCTCGAATTTTCATTATAACTTATACACGAATGCTTCGATTTTTTTCATATTTGGGGGATAATGCCTAATAATTAAGGGGCATAAAAAAACGATAAGAATGTTCAAAAACTTGCACAGTGGCGGAGTGGAGGGGGTGCTCAACCCCTTTCTTAAACAGAACTTCTACGCCAATGACTATTTAAAAAAAACTCTTATTTTAATTATCTACATACAGTTTAACAAAAATGTCCCTTCTTCTGTTTCGAAATTCCTGTGCGTTTCCGAGTTACATATTTTGATTTTTAGTGTTTGATGTGGTACTAAATTAATTTATTTATTATCAATTATCGGCTAAATATTTAATTCTTTCAACGAAACCTACCTAAATATGGTTTGTTAGGATTCTAAAAAGCTGAAATCTCTTATTCTTTATCTCTTTCCAATGTAGTCAAAATAAATATTTGTTACCATACTCAAATACAAGACTTTTATAAGTTGAAATCTGTTTAGTACAGGGATGCACATACCGCGGCCCACTGTCGATATTTATGCGGCCCGCCAACGAATTTTAAAAGTATTCTACTCGCCGCGCTCCGGTCCAAGCATATTACTACGAGACTAGAAATCTGTCGCATCAACTAGATTACCGTCTGGCAAATGAAAATTTGGAAGCAATTATACGTGTGGCTACAAAAAACGTAGAGACAAATATAAAAAAACTTGTTAGTTCAATGCAATGTCATGCATCAAAATAATAAAACATGAAATATTACATTGTAATGATTACATAATTATTACAACAAACATTTTTGAAGGTTATTTTATTTTTATCGTTGTATTTCATACTATTTAAAAATAAAAACTTTTGTGTTAATAAATATTGTTTGTAGTGGTCCGTCCTTGGCTTATATTTTTCCCGAGTGGCCCCTGTTCCCTATAAGTCTGTGTATCCCTGGTTTAGTACACTAATTTTAATCCTTATTTATTATGTGCTGCGTAAATACTAATGTACTGCAACTAAATTACAAAAAAAAAACATTGGATGGTGTTAATGTTTATGGAGAAATTTTTTGAATTTATAACAATATTTAATTAACAACTTCTTAAAACTTTTTGGCAACTGCACAATAATATATTGTATGTATGCAATGTAACATATTTCAACTTATAAAAGTCTTGTATATGAGTATAGCTTGATATAACAAATATTTATTTTGACTACATTGGAAAGAGATAAAGAATAAGAGATTTCGGCTTTTTAGAATCCTTAACAAACCATATTTAGGTAGGTTTCGTTGAAAGAATTAAATATTTAGCCGATAATTGATAATAAATAAATTACTTAATTTAGTACCACAACGAACACTAAAATCAAAATAACTTAGAAACGCACAGGAATTTCGAAACAGAAGAAGGGACATTATTTTTGTTAAACTGTATGTAGACAGTGAAAATAAAGTTTTTTTTAGAAACAGTCATTGGCGTAGAAGTTCTGTTTAAGAAAGGGGTTGAGCACCCCCTCCACTCTGCCACTGTGCAAGTTTTTGAACATTCTTATCGCTTGTTTTATGCCCCTTAATTAATAGGCATTATCCCCCAAACATGAAAAAAATCTAAGCATTCGTTTATAAGTTATAATGAAAATTCGAGAAAAAAAAATTATATTCAACACCCTGTATCTCGGAAACGAAGCCTTCTACGACATATGTTTATAGGAACTTTTCTTTTTAAAAATACGTGTTCTATCTCATGTTAAAGTTTGTCTACAAAAAACTGACTCACCCTGTATATTTAATTCCTCGGGGTTAAAAAATTGATAATAAACTTGGGAACTGAAATAGTGTTATTAGTTATTTTTACTTACCCGGCTAGTATATTGAAATTGTACATCCAAGACGTGCTAGCAGCCTTGAATACGTTGCACCACACTAGATGGTGCTTATTGTCCACTAGGAATTCCCAGGGGTTAGGTCTGTGCAACGTGTCGTTGCCAGGACGATCCAGTCCTAACACCCTACACATCCTTTTCAGGTGCTTTCTACGCATATCGAGTCTCCTCGCTATCAGCGTCATATTCTGGTTTAGCTTTGGTTCAACTATGATGTTCTCCTTCTGGTCAAACTAAGACAAAAATGGGTGGTAATTGCAGTTAGTTGTGGAAGTGTGAAAAGTATCAAACATTTTTTCAAGCGAATTTGACATTTTTATTTTCGTCTCATACGCAATTTACGTATCGGTGAAGCCGCTTATATGAGTATAAAACATTATATTTGGAAAAAGGGACGAAATTACCGGTTTTTTAATAAGTAAGTAGTTTGCACGCAATAGGTACTGGTTTTTGAATTTTTATGAAATCGTATCCTAATAATGAATGTCCTAGGCAAATTAGGAAAAAATTGCTTAGCAGGTTTCCGAGATATACAGGGTGGTCACTTTTAAGGTGTACACCGTTATTATCGCCTGAACTAGAAGATTTATAGGGTTGGTTAAATTACAAGAAAGTTGCATATTTTCAAGCCATTTCGGATCATGAAAAGAAACTGGAGATAAGTTGCACTGTTCCTGAAATAAGCTGAAAAAACCTTAAATAAATAAGGAAACTGTTTCAAGTAGGTACACTAATTACTTAGAAAAAATTATCCTGAAGCCTTCTGATGAACAGCTAAAAGAAGGAATATTTGATGGGCCCCAAATTCGTACCCACTTTAATGAATGATAAAAATTTTTTTGCAGTAATTTTGAAAACGTTGTTGAATATTTCCTAGGCAAAAAAAGTACAAAAAGTTTATAGTGAAGCAGCTAGCGGAAAATTTTACAAAATTAGGATGTTTAATGAATGTAAAATTGCTCTTCTTACATTCTAATTGGAATTTTTTCGGAAAATGTTGGAGATTGTAGCGAAGAACAAGGGGAAAGGGCCTTTTGTAGTTAGTAATCCCAAAAACGCATAGAGCCTATAAAAATTGTTCAAAATGGATATTTTTGAAATATTTTCTTTAGGAATTTCCTAAGAGATCCCTCACGAACTTTTTGAGAAAAATTACTCTAAATTTATTAAGTTAAGCAAGGCTAAATTAGGTTTTTTAATGCTTTTGGAGTAATTTTTACATGGCAATGAATTATTCATAGCAAACCTTTGTTTTTTAATGGTTGAAATTGATATAATTAGAATACTTTAAGAAGAAAAGGCAAATAACTGATAAATTTAGATTTTGTAAATGTTATTTTTTATTAATGTTTAGCCTAGAAATCTAGAATTAATCTTTCATGAAAGTAAATCATCAAATAATATTTTTTTTACTAATCGCCGATATTTTAGTCGTTTTTGAGGTTAAGAAACTTTTTTATTTTTTTAGGTTAGGATATGTTAGATATGGAGTTCTTGAAATAAAATTCACATACTTTTTACGATGATAACCTATTAATAATTTACTTTTATTTACGAATCAACAAGTGATATTGAATTTTAAAACAATAATACTTTATAACTTGTTTTTAGGTTATGTTAGGTTAGGTTGGGATAGACTATGTGAATTTAAATTTGTTGCAAAACGCTAAGTGTATATTTTGCGTATAAATCAGTTTTTTATTACTTTATTTTGATTTTTTATTGTTTATAATATTGATTTCAGTGATGTTTAAGAAAAAAAGGAATATCTTACACAGAAAGTTAAAATGTTAATCAATTTATATAAATTTAGTGTAATTTTTCCCAAAAAGGGTCTCTTAGGAAATTCTCATATAAACGCTCTAGGCGTTTTTGGGACTACTAACTACAAAAAATGCAGATTGCTGTTGGATGTTGAAAAGATATACATATTCTCTAAATTGGAAAAAAGAGGAATAGGGTACTGCTACATAGATATTTTGAAAGCATATTTTGCGTTCGTTTTTCTTTTTTGTTTTTGTTTATTTTTTTGATTTGTTATATTGTTGTTGGCGTGTTAATTGGGTCAAATTAAAAACCTTTTATGCTTGCACTTTTTTCTCTAAAATGTATTTTTGAGGAGTTATATGCCTTTACAATGACGCATTTTAGAGAAAAAAGTGCAAGAATAAAAAATTGTTATTTTGACCCTATTAACTCTGTGTAGGTACTTTAATTTCAAAATATTAACTATTTTAACAAAAAATCTAGATTTCCACTGATTTTGAGTTATTTTTTGAGCGAAACAACTACTCTGCGGATTAAAGTTCCTTTACTAAATACAACAGGTGATCCGCAAGAGTAATTGTTTTTCACAACACAATCTAGTTACTCATACCTTTAGATTTCAACCCACTAAAATAAAACACCAAGAACATTAACCCCAAAAAAGCGAAAAAAAAAACAATACTAGGTTGATACCTATATTTTCACTTACCTGCTGATGTATGTAAGAGTGCTGCTGTACGGGCCTCATGTAGTGATCGGTGGCAACGAGTAGTACCAATAGTACCGGTACCACACATATGGCCGTGAAGAACACCACGCATCTCCTGACTACCCTCCATCCGTTCACTTGTGACTTCCGTCTTTTTCTCAGTTTCATGATTTCATACTACGGTTTTCCCAGCGAGGGTTTTGGCAGTATAGTTTTCAGCGATGCTCATTCTGCTCATCTAGACAATTTGAAACATAGTTTTTTCATTATGTAATTACCTCAGAAAACAGTGGTGGAATCTGTTGTGGTGACTGTTGTATACCACAGACTCTTGAGATAAAACTAATTGGATTTGAATCAACCTATCCTAAATATGTTTTTGAAAGTTATATAAATCGTCGAAAGTTATTTATTGTGGCACAGTTTTAGTTTTTTCTGTTTATTTGGGTATTTTACCATTAGAAATAAAAATAAATATTTGTCTAGATAATATTTCTTGATAGATTTTTAGTAAAAAGAGATTTAATTTGCCGCTCCGAAAAATTAAAAATAGTTTACAATACCAAAACTGCATACCTATCTGTAAAAAACAAATTTAGAACCTATTTTGTTTTTTAAGGAGACGATACGTTTGTTATATATCTTTTTGTTGGAAAGATACCAAAAGATAATATTTGTCTGAAGATTTCAAACCAATCGATTCGATTATAACGTGTACCAAGTTTGAAGTAGAGGGGGGCTTTCTGAAAAAATACTTCAAAAGTAAAGTTAAATTGATTTAAAATTGATTGTTTTTAACTCGAGATGCTGTAGTTGCTGTACGTATGAACTCTGTTTTCTGGAACATCCTAAATAGGTTGTATATACTTGTAGGTGTAGGTACTATATGGAAATATTAGTATAAATAAGCTGGGATTTAGTTATTGATTTTGAGGATGCAAGTTCTTTTTCATACTTCTCACGTTTACTCAAGTACCTCATAAGATGTTTGACAAATATTAATTACAAGATACAACTGAAATAATTAAAAGTAAATATTCACTGAGGGAGCACTATTATCAAGAAGCTTTTAAATTTTACAAAACTGATTTTTTAACAATTCCTATGTGTGTTTTTAATTATTAGGACCTATTTCTAAAACAAATAGCCATCTATTTTTCTTAAATGAAAGATTTTTAACTCATCATTATCCACTATTCAGTAAACTTCTTCAAGTTCTTCAGTAAAGTGTGCAAAACTTAAGATAAATCTACGCCAAACATTTTTTAACAAACTTGTATTTTTAGTCTAAGTAATTTACCCTCTATAAAATAGATAGAAGATGGTTAGTCTACCCTAAATTATATTGATATGACTCCATCAAACAGTTTGTTAAATATTGTTTAGGAAATTTAACCTTAAAAAAACATTTCTTTAATTCCAAAAAATCATGGAAAATATACTAGAAGGCCTAAATAAATAATTTGATTTAAAGAATTTTAAATTCAACATATTTTCAGAAATTATAAAATTTAAAATTATATCAATTTGATTAATTAAAATTTTAATTAGGTATACGTATTTCACAAAGTTAAATTGATTTTCAGAATACTTCATTTGTACTTCGGGGAAAGAAAGCAGTCACATTATTTCAGACTGTTATTTAACACAGTTAATGAAATTTTAATAATGATGTCATTTTAATATTTACCGGTACAGTTTTTAAAACCTAATCTAACTAACTTTTTCAGGAATACTTTTGACAAATTTGGAAATATGTATTTTAGATACATTCTGAAATACAATTGACTGAATTACATGTGACTAATTATAAATTGAAATTCCCCGTATTTCCCCGTCTGAAATAAAAGTTGAAGTTACGAATACGAAAATTCACGAAATTAGCTCGAGGTAGTCGAAAGATATTAAAAAAAAGTTATTTACTTTTTCAGTTGTGACACGAGCTCCGTTATTATCAATTTTTGGACTAGGGCCAGTTTAGTTAAATCGACTTGTTTTGAGCCGTATTATATCTGGTGGAGCGTTGTACAGACCCTTTTGGGAACAACCTAAAGGTTGGCAACGATTTTTTAAATATCTTTTAAACCCGCTGAAGAATCAATAGCAAAGGACCCCGCACAAATCTTATGGAAATTGGGTCCCGGTCAAATTCGCTGAATTTTTGATATGTGATAGAGTTCATCATACTGGTCAATTGTCTCAATGGCCACAAAGCTCAAAAATGGATAGTTTGGCCGGTACAGAGCTTTAAAGCTCCGAATATCCTCCACGGATTTATGTATATGCGCAGTGTGTATAGACTTTTGAAATAGCCTATTTCATTTTTTTTATTATCTAGGTTTATATTTTTGAGGTTGCTGAATTCAGATCTGTTGTTAGATTTTCAAAATTGACAGTTGGCAGCTGTCAAATAGCTGTCAATGTGCTATAATAAAGCCAAAAACTTGTTTTTTTATGTTTTATCTTTCTTTTTTTTTAGTTCGATAAGTTCAAAGACGATATCAAATCAATAACAATGACTATCGGCAGCTGTCATTTAGCTGTCAACAATTCTTCAAAGTCCGGTAATAAAGTCAAAAAATTATTTTTTGTTTATAACTTCAAGTTTTTTAGATAAGTGAATATAAATATGATATAAAATTATGTAGTCATCAGCTTACAGCTGTCAACAAGCTGTCAACTAACTGTCAAAATGCAATAATAAAGTCAAAAAGTTACTTTTTTTAAAAAGCTTTAAGTTGCTTAGATCACTGAGTTCAAAAGTGATGTCATAAACTTATATCATGTTTGATTTCTTATCCACAAAGTTAAGCACAAAAAATAAGTTACTTGCTCTATTATTGCATTTTGACAGTTAGTTGACAGCTTGTTGACAGCTGTAAGCTGATGACTACATAATTTTATATCATATTTATATTCACTTATCTAAAAAACTTGAAGTTATAAACAAAAAATAATTTTTTGACTTTATTACCGGACTTTGAAGAATTGTTGACAGCTAAATGACAGCTGCCGATAGTCATTGTTATTGATTTGATATCGTCTTTGAACTTATCGAACTAAAAAAAAAGAAAGATAAAACATAAAAAAACAAGTTTTTGGCTTTATTATAGCACATTGACAGCTATTTGACAGCTGCCAACTGTCAATTTTGAAAATCTAACAACAGATCTGAATTCAGCAACCTCAAAAATATAAACCTAGATAATAAAAAAAATGAAATAGGCTATTTCAAAAGTCTATACACACTGCGCATATACATAAATCCGTGGAGGATATTCGGAGCTTTAAAGCTCTGTACCGGCCAAACTATCCATTTTTGAGCTTTGTGGCCATTGAGACAATTGACCAGTATGATGAACTCTATCACATATCAAAAATTCAGCGAATTTGACCGGGACCCAATTTCCATAAGATTTGTGCGGGGTCCTTTAGTATGTGTATTTGGCTATTGAAGACTCATATTTATACGAATAAAGGTTAACTCAAACCCACAATTTCATAGATACCTCAGTAGATAAATGGTAAATATTTTGATGCTTGAAAAACGTTCGTTTTGATTTTGAACCATAAAAGATGGTAATTGAAATAATTATTTCCTCTTAAAAAGTTTTTATAAAGCACATGATTTTAAAGTAAAATGGAAAAATATATCAATCTAAAAATATTCAGACGTAAATAAATGTTTCTTAAGATCTCTAACGAGTTGTAGATACTTGCCTAATAAAAAAAGAGAAAATATAATATTTTATTATTAATACGAATACAAACTAATAAATTTAACTTAAATAGTAATCTTTAATGTTTGAAAATATTTATTTGCATGTGAAAGTGAACTTCACAACTGTTTTTAATGTGTTTTTGATAAGAAATTGTTGCAGAATAATATATTTTACTACTCGAAATGTACATATACAGAGTGATTCACAAATGGTAACCAAAAATTAAAATTCATTCTTCATCTTTCCTATAAAGTTTTTATCTAGGACGCTTCGTTAAAAAGATACAGGGTGTTAAACATTTTTAATTTTTTAAATAACTTAAAAACTAGTAAGTGAAATAATTTGAAATTGGGCACATTTATTTATGTAAACATTGTCTAAAATCTATCGTATTTTTCTAAATAAAATAGTACGCCACTGTTTTACGGTATCAACCATGATATTTTCGGATTCGTCTTTCAATTTTCTTCAAATTACTACTCTCTTATGTCGAAAAAAAGCCTTCTTGCATCATCGACCTTGGACACGATATGACATGAGAAAGATAATTCCTGATCGAAGATAAAATACGTGAAAAACGATACATCTTTTATTAAGGTGGTTATGAAAAAGTGGATTCCATGCAAACCCAATTTTTTGTGACCCTGTCAGGTGGTTTATAAAATATTAAAAAAAAACTTTATTAATTATCCACTAGTATTTAAATTGTTGATGTTCATTTTGCCAAGGAACACCCTGTAGAAGTTTTGCAGTAGAATTAAGACGCATCTTGTTTAAAGTATTATATTACAAACCATAAAAAAAATCATTTAATAAATTTGAAATAAATTGGATCATTAATTAATAATTGTAGAAAATGTTTGTACAGCTTAAGGGCTTTATTTTTCGTTAATATGAAAAACGCAATAATGAAAACTGTAGATGTAGAAGAATCTAGAGGTTAATAAAGAATTGTCGACATTACGAGGTAGTTCCGAATAGTTTCCGTGACATAACTAAAGTTCGAGTATTCTTGATTACTCGAATAGTGTATCTTAGAACATTCACCACAAAATTACCTTCTGTTCTCAACTTTTCCCCGGTTGGTACTAAATTCCAAAAGACGGCCGAGACTTGCCAGATCCACACTCAAATTAAAGCGCACGGCACATGAATTTTAAGATCACTGTTCAGGCGACTTATCCCGGTTATTTTTGGCTGGCAAAGGAGCGATGAATGGAGCGGCGGATGGGGAGGGTTTCATTGAGTATCGGGGGGTGCTCACTGCAGTGCAGCGCGGTTGGGAGCGGTCGATTTTTGTGTACAATCCGGCTGATTCTGCGCCCAGCGCACTCCAGATCGGCCCGTGCAATCGCGGATGACAATCTTTTATCGCGGGTCAAGGGGTTAACGGTTTGCTTTTTATGTGGAGGCTTATCGGGGCCCGCCTCGATCCATCACTCAACCGTCCCTTAATTTTGTTCGACGAGAGGTTTGGGGACCATTTTTTCTTTCCGTTACGTTCCGAAATAAGACGATTAGGTGGATATGTCACATACAGGGTGTCTCAATAAGGTGTACAGGGTGATTCACTATATTTTGACGCCCCATTTAACTTTTTATGACCTTATAAGACTATGCTCGATCCAAATATGTAAAAATATACAGGGTGTTCCATTTAAATTAACAAAGTTTACACCAGCGGCCATTTTTGGATTTCAATTGTTTTATCATTTATCATTTTCATAAAATTCATAAAAAAATCGTGTAACTTTTGTATTTCATTTTTTTTATATAACTCTTACAACAAAAAAGTCAAAGGGGGGTCAAAATATAGCGAATCACCCTGTACATTGTGCTACTGCAGTTTTCTGCTGTCGAAAGAAAGAGATTTAACTAAACTTAACTCTATTCCAAGTTAGTTCGTTTGGCCGCTAGAGGGCAATAAAGTTGACAAAACAAAATGTTTTTTTTTAAATTACTTGTAAGATTTAATTGTACAGTAATACTTTCATATATACGTCACATTGTGATATAATAATCGAAATAATTGGATTAGCAAAACTGAAGAATACAGCCCTGCTTTTGACTAAACGTAATTTATTTTATAACAAACGAAATAGTAATCCTCGGTATTCCTCCATTCTGCAAATTGTGCACAGTATCTTCAAAAATGTATTCCCATAATACACATTCTACTTTAAGACTCCCTCACCCCCTCCTCAAATAAAGAAACACAGGGACTTAAGTCGGGTGAACGTGGTGGCCAGTAAATTGGAGTATCGTGTTTGTAGTAAATATTAAGGAAATGTACCTAATTGAACATATAGAAGAAATGTAGCAAAAGTTGTATAGTCCTTCCGAAGTCAGTTGAACATGTATAAACACGTCTAGCAATAAAATATAATGAGTTTCATTGGCGTCCCTAAAATGTTTTCTGCTTAAGGTAAAAATTATAATAATAATTTGTATATAATGTGTAGAAAATTTCTATTGTGTATATGTTCATTTGACCAACAACATATTTTAAAAGGTCTCCAAAATGCCGTATTGTAATAATATTAGTAAACAAAATATCGCTCTTATTTCTCCCTTTCGCAATTGTAATATGAATTAATAATAGAAGGTGCCTATAATAAATTAAAATTACCAGAATCACACTAAATTCCGCATTGCTGCACTGCACTGCTAGGCCATTTGTTGACAACTGAATTTATGGCCAGGTGGCGCAGTGCGGCTGTGTTTGTGCCGCGTTTGCTCGCGCTGTCAATTTTCAACTGGGCGACTAGACCTGTATATGGGTATGGCTAAATAAATATGGGAACAAGTTTTTCAAATATTTCAATGCCGAGTTGCTGGGTCAGCGACCTAACGTGGTACATACTGCCAACCTTTTGGTTCTTCAATTGAGATCGGAAAGACTATACAAATTTGATTTACCTATACCTGTCCTAGGCAATTAGAATATGTGGTTAGAGAAACAAGTGAACATCAAATTAAAAGATATAACAATACAGGGTGTTAAAAAAAGTGTGAAGAATTATAAGGGCAAAGAATACTCAAAAAAAATATCAATTAAAGTTCATATGAACGAAAACGTGTTGTTTCTGAGATATGGAAAGTTGAAAATTTTCGTAAAGTTAATCTGTTTTTGTTTACATCTTCCTAACAGGTTCACCAAATCAGTTCAAAATTGATGTGTGTGTGAAAGTGCCCAAGTCTTTGAATCATAGGAAGAAGTAGTGAGGGTCAGTTACATTACTTTTACATTTTGACTTTTACACTTTGCTAGCTGAAAGGAGGCACCTAAAAGAAAAAATTGCCTCAAGAATCTGTAGTTAATCAGTTTTTTTGTAACACTTGTTTAATAATAATGGATATATCACTTAATGGGAATCGCATAACTTGACAATATACCTACCTCAATAAGCAGACAATAGAAATTGCAGCCTGCAATATGGCAATTTTGTATATACAGTACAGGGTGTTCTACAAACTTTGACATATGGTGGCTGGATTAATTTCAAACATTTTTCCTTATATGGACATAGGTACGATTCTTTTTTGTTTAGAAGCATTTAAAAAAATATAATTTCATATTTCAATCAGAGTAGCACGATAAATAAAAATAATGGTAGTTAACCTTTATTAAACAAATTAACAAATTTTAAGACTATAAAAATTGTTGAAAATGTCCACCTTCAGCTCGAATGCAGGCCTCAGATTCTTTCAAGTAACTGCAGATGGGTAGTGACTTCAACATGGTAGACAAGTTGCTTCATATGTCCTTATAAATAAAAGTCCAACGGATTTAGATCTGGAGAACGCGGTGGTCCTGCTATTGGACCTTGTTGATCTAATTTATTTGGGAAATTATCATTTAACCAATTTCTATGTGGTGGTGCACCATCGTGCTGATACCACATATTTTGAACAATAGTAAGCCCTATTACTTCATCAATGAAATCAAGAAGGTTGTTTTCCAAGACAGTTCTATACAGATCTGCATTTAAACGACCATAATTGTTGAAAATGCTACCCCAAACGTTGACTCTGAAATGTCGTTGAAATCGTTTTGATCTAATTGCATTCGGATTTTGTAACGCCCAGATATGTTCATTATAATTATTATTTATGCCGTCCCTAGCAAAACTCGCTTCATCAGACCACATGACAAGCGAAATGAATATATCATTTTGTTGAAATAACCAGCGACAAAATTCGAATCGCTGAGGGCCACCTCCAACATGTATCACTTGTACATTTTGAGGATGAAACGGATGTACATTTCTCTGTTCAATATAAGCCACACAAAATTCGATGATGAATGAAGATTACTTACTATACGCCGAACACCAGCTACCATTTATCAAAGTTTGTCATAGAGCTTGTAAAACACCCTGTATATGTGAGACAATGTTGTATTTTAAATGTAACATAACCGAATATATACAATTAAGAAAAAAAAGTAATATTATTATGGCATTTTGCGTTGCGATAATCAAAATTAAAATTATAAAATTACATGTTTCGTTGTGAATTCACAAACAGCTAGCCTAAACACTACATTAATCTTTCAGCCAGACACAACGACCGAGGTCTTTGGCCAGACATTTATGATTATAAAAAGGATATTTTATGCAATTTAGCTTTAATATTAAATTCTATTTAGGATTGACTATTCTAGTGCTTTCAAATAAATATCGTTGTTTTAAATACTTACCTTATACACAGTGGCTGAAGAGATGACAGCCTCATATTTACGCTAGATTATGACACACACAATATGACTTTAGATGTTCAGTTTCACTCGACTATGTTTACATCTATATATAAGGAAAATGTTTTCAGAACACGGGACACCTAATACTCTTATTTGTTCGCTAAACAAAAATCTGGATAACTGAGTATCCGTATATATAAGTATAAGTAAACAATAAAGTTTGTCCAACTGTAACACCAAAAAATAGATACATATTGGAAACATAAATATCCATTAGAAACAACAGTTAACGAATTTACCGTTGTTAAAAAAGTTGCGCTGGGTCATTAATAAGAAAATTAAACTATGAATAATGAAAATATATTGAATGTTCCAATATTTAGATTTAAGTGTAACTAGTGGAAATGCCTTGCAAAGTATTAAGTAACGTACCTGTATGATATAATAAATCTTATATATAAAATTCTCGTGTCACAATGTTCGTTCCCGTACTCCTCCGAAACGGCTTGACCGATTCTCATGAAATTTTGTGAGCATATTGAGTAGGTCTGAGAATCGGCCAACATCTATTTTTCATACCCCTAAATGTTAAGGGTGGTCCACCCCAAAAATTTTTTTTTTTATTTTTTGGACAAAATTTTCTGTTTTTATTTTTTCATGATTCAGCATTGAAAAATACATACAGTTCTAAATTTTCACCCTTATACGATTTTTATATTATTTTGTTCCATCCACAGTTCCACAAGATGGCAAAACAACGTTTGCCGGGTCAGCTAGTAATGTATAATAACAAGTTTGTTTTAAAAACACGAACGTACAGTAAATACATAATAAAATATGCAAATAATATAAAATAAACCTATATACACTCCACATCTGTGCATGGGGAAAACCATAAATATGTAAAATAGAAACAATAATCCGTATAAAACGAATAATATATCAGTAATAATTAAGATTGGATTCAAAGTATAGATTATTAGTAAAAATGTACAAATGGGTACATTTATGAAAGTTAAAACACTAATTTCTGAGAAGTAACAGCAACAGGATAAAATATGATAATTAATGAAGCTCTGTGAATGTTCTCTTTGAAAAAATATATTTTTTTAGTTGCTTTTTAAAAATTGGCCAAAACATATATTCTGTGTCTCGCCTGACAATGGTGCATATAACTTTCGATCTAGGTATGACGTTTCTCTCCAAAAGATTTGTTCCGTTTTGATGTTTTAAATATTTTACTCTTTTTCTTGTCTCAAACACATTGTCCCTAATTATTAGTTGATGTTTATTTTTATATTGACAGAGAAAATAAAAGATCAATTGCCGTAAATCCATAAAGGATGTTTCAACAAAAAGGTCTGCCAGAGTATCAATAAAAAACATTTAAATAATATGTATGTATACGTTAAAAAGAACTGGCCCTAATACGGACCCTTGTGGTACTCCTTATGTAATGTATTTTAATTCATTTCCTCTTCATGCCATATTTACCTGGCGGTTTATTATCTTTCAGTTGGTTTATTGTATTATTTATTTCAACTATTTTGATTGGAAAAATATTCTAAGTGCTTGTGGTTATGAGTTTCATTTGATTATCGATTTTATTTGCTAATTTTTATCCTACAGTAGCGTAATGGCTATTAAATATGTCTATTAATTTTTTTATCTTTTACTTTCCTCCCCATTATGATTTATGTGTTGAAGATCTGTTGCTACTTTTTTTAATGAAATCAATTCCTGTGCAGTTTCCCACAATATTATTATTTGTATTTTGTGTAATTTTATCTTTGTAATATAGAGCTTTAAACGATTTAATTAGATTATTTAAGTAATTTCTGTAATTAATGTATTAATTTTTTAATTTGAGATTAAAACTTGTTTGCAACTGATTATTGATTTAATAATTACCAACTGTGAGCTAACTTTTCCTATTTTGTGTCTTATGAACAAAGATACAAATTCAATTTCTTTTATAATCAATAGTATACATTTCTGAAGGAAGATTTTAATACTATAAAACTGCTAGATATTATGAAAATTGATTTTTGTCATGCATTTATTAAGTTTCTCAAAGTTCTTTTTTTGTATGTATTAATTTTACGCATGAATTTCATATTAGTTTGATAAACAATTTAAATAAGCTCTGCAATGATCTGTAGTTTTAGTTTTTATTACAAATTCTAGTATAAACTCATAATCGTGTTTATTTCTAATAAATCATTGACTGCAGAAATAAAATTGAATTTACCCAAGGTATTTAAATATTGTGCTAAGTGTTAACTACCATTTCCAAGTATGTCAATATTCGTATCGCTTGCACACAGAAAATACTCAGCCCTATGCCAATCATTACTAGAAACAATGTTACATTAAACGAAGATGTTTCAAAACTGGAAATAGCTGAAAAATTGCTCAACCGACAGTTTCAGATGGTGTAGAAAGTAATACGTTACTGAAATATCAGGCACCTCAAACATTGCTAATGCACAATGTTTACATTTTTTAAAACTTTTGTAATTCACGTCCTGTGGATAAAATTTCGTGCTTATCCTGCTGCAGCCGTCTGCAGTATTTCCTTTCTCACATTTATTTTGGTTCTATTTTTAGGAATGGCGATATGCTGACATTGTTATTAACATTGTTATTGTTTAACATTTCCCACTGTTTTTGAAGTAATCTCAACTTTGTTAATGAATATATTTAATTTCTAGAATCCACGTCATACTATAAGGCTACGTTGTTGATAACCTATTTAGCGTTACACAATAATAAATTAAAAACAAATATTCGTAGTTTCACCATAGACCAAGTATGGTGAAACCTTATCCTTTTATTTTATTTATATACGACAGAGAATTTTATAGATAATGAGATTATTTTAAATTATAATGTATATTCTTGTATATTCACATACTAAGAACGAATTTTTGGAAAAAAATGTCTACTACTTTGTCCTTATTTATGTCGTTTAACTCAGTTTTACATAAGCAGGTTCAAATTGATATTGTTCATAAAGAAATTCAAAAAACCTTTGACCAATTTGATCTATATCTATTATTATATAAATTAAGGGTGTTTGGATTTTCTAACAATGTTATTTTATTATTTGTTCCATGATATTATAAACACTTAGTAGAACATGGTCTAATTTGGGACCACTTCTGTTTGTCGCCTCCATCAGTGATATTACTGGTGCTGTTAACAATCACAAATTGACGCAAATAATCTTAACATCCATAATGAGATAGATTTCGTATCAGAATCTGTTCAAGGGAAATTCTTAAGCGTTTGTTCTTAAGCTAGATTATGTTTACCCAATGAGGGAATTAATAAATCTTTGCTATTACTCGTTTTAGGATGTTTATGACGTATTATAATTTAATAAAATTTCTGTAAAATTGATGACTTATGACTAGGCTTAGTGCGGCGCGGAGTTTCACAGGACCGTAGTCAGATTACGAATGAAAATATTAATATATTTACAGAAATATGTCGTACCTATTACCAGAGCAAGGCTGAGTAGAGGATAAAATACCAATATAAAAAATGATACACTTACCCGAAAAACCTTAATGTTGAGACAAGGCTTCCGTGGCATATTGGAAGGAGTTAAAATATATTAATACGTGGTTTTCAAAGTTTTCTTTATTCAAACGGCGACGTTTATCACTTAATATTAACTTGTGCAGGGAAAGATGTCCGTTCAACGTCTACTGTTGACAACAGACAATATGAGAAACTGTTCACGCATGAACTATATATTAATATATTTGCTGGTAACTCCTTATATGTACCAGATAAAACTTTACATATGTTTTCCAAAATGGTGTATCCTTATTTTTTTTCACTATGCAATTTTTCTTTTATCGTATTACTGACTGGGCGTATATTATTGGCATCATATATATTTTGTTGTACATCATCCATTATATCAAATTGTTCATTTAGAAATAGTCCATGTGATTCTAGTTTACAGAATTATGGAACTTGGTGTTCTTTAGTTTGTTTAAAGGAATATTGCTTGAAAGAAAGGCGTCTGTAAGTTCATAGAAAAATACAGTCTTCAGCGCTAAACGAGGCATGGCTCTTCAAATATCTTGTCACTTTAGTTTTGTAATAAGAATTTATAATGCGTTCACACACTGTACAAAACAGGTCTTGTAATACGTATGTCCCTGTAACCATCGGGATCACTGTCAAACTACATTTGAAATAATTCCCGTCTAGTTCTTTTCTCTTTTGGCATTTTACTTCACTTTACCCCCCCCCCCAATATTCGCAAATAGTTATAAATATACACGGCGAATACAATTCACAGGAGAGGTAAAAAAGAAAGGTTTCGACGCGACACCAACTACTACAAGGTTCTGTAAATAACTGAACAGTTCAACACGCGAGTCAGCTGTGAAGGCCACCGACCCCCACGCCGACTCTGTTTGACTCTACACTTAAACTAAGCCTACTTATGACATATGGGTTGTTTTTTAGCAATTTCACAGCCATCCTCGCAATAAATGGGATTATTTTAATTGCTTATCACAAAAACTGTCAATAAAAGAAAAATTAAGACAGATAGGTATAGAGAAATGCAATGTGGGTGGATAGATAGAGGGTCAAATTCTCCAACAGTTTTTGATTAATTATATGAGGTTTCATTTAAAAAAAAACAAGTTTTGGTGGTGCTAATTCGACAATAAATTTTCACCACCCTGTGAGAAATGAAACAGCTTTTAAATAACTGTAAGAAAGGGTAGGCATCCCCTTATTTCTCTTTTAAATATCAATACTTCAACTTGCAGGAAAAAATTTTGAATTATTTTGAGCCATCTGGTGGAGCATTGTACAGACACCTAGATACACCCTGTACATATATAAAGTTCTTTTAAATATTTTATTGTGTTTTTTTATATAGTTTATTAATATTGTCGTGTGTACTGTGATAATTGTACGTTCTATAAATAAAAATAATACACATAACACGTTCATTAAATAGGAAATGCCATTTTCATAATGATACAGCTATTCACTGGCTGTACTTAATTGAAGTTAATCAATTTAGGGCAGTGTGTTTCCATGTTCGTAGCGTTTGACCTAATTTCCAGTATAATGAGTACATTATTTTTTATTTGGAGTGTATTTACTGGTATTGTGCACGCGAAAAAGGTTTTCACGCAAACCGTTCCCTGTCAAGCTGATGACCCCCAGCTAATAAAAAATGTAACGAATAACGTTCTATCTTCAGCTCACCTGTGGTTATTTATTATTCCTTGTTTATATAGGCGCAGACTTTGATGTATGGGATCGGTTTGAGTGACATTTTAATGTAGTAGGTATGTGATGTTTGAAATTGTAAATTTTCTGGACTGGTCATAAATTTATGTCTCGTTTGAAATAAGGTTTAATCGGAATAGAGCATGTTTCTTTTAAATTCGTCAAGATGAAATCTCTTGAAACCTATTTCATTTTTAGACTCATTTGTGTTAATAATGACTAGAGACTTAGGATAATACTTTCAAATATACGTATAGTGATCAATAATACACATGAAATTGTCCCAAATAAAAGTCGCGAAAAATCGACATCTCCATATTTCAGAATTATAATACAGTGTCTTCCATTTCATCTGGGCGTTATCTAACTTCATTTTTTCAAATGAATTTATCGTAGAAATTATTATTTTTCTGTTTGAAATACGTTAATGTGCTTGAACGAATGGTGAAAACATGTTTAATTTCAGAGATATTTGACATTCTTGAAGATGCTGCACAATTTTTTACACTAAATAACACCAAAATGGGTTAAATCTTATTTTTTTAAATATTTTTTAGAAGTTTGTGCAACCTGAAAGCGATATTGAAATGGGATTCGCCCTCTCCGTTATCCTACCAGGTATTTTTGTACGAAGAAAGCAGTGTGCCTTATTTAAAAACACTAACAAGTCCTACTTTTCTATGCCACAAGGAAAATTGCAATGGAATCACGAATTCTTTGAAAAAATCTGATAAAGTGGATAAAATTGCTCATATAATTGTGACCCTACAACTTCCCAAATTTATCGAGGCGCTGTCTTATAGTATCACAGGGAATTTGATATTTCAACGGGAGGAGAAAAGTTTAACCCTAGTTTTTCCTGCAGTTGAAATTTCTGCTTACGATGCTACAATTCATGATTTGGTAAGTAACTGATACTGAATAGTATTTTGAAACTGTAAAAATATAATAGCGTTTTCGACTTATTTGCATTTTTGCAGTTATATTGACTGAGAATATTTCCATTCTTCATTACTCGAGTTGATAGTACATGATGCAGTTATAGCTGAGTGCAATTAAGTCATTAATATTGTAAGTTGTGTTAAAAATATGGCAGGTGGACATGTCATAAACAGGATGTCTCAATATTCCGTGTACATTGATCTATCACAGTACATTGAATCACCAAAGAACACTTAAATGGTAAATACCCCTGCCTGCAGATAGATAGGCAGGAGACACAATGCTCCAATTCACTGACCACCACGTTCATAAGACTTAAATCCTTGTGATTTTTTTATTTGAGGGGCCTAAAAACAGAAAGAGTATTCTGTTTATAGATTAAAGAGGATGCATTTTAATTTTTTGCCTAGAATTAATTTACGTATTACACAAAATGATGGTTATATTGAACAGTTCTTATAAGAGAACTATTTTAGGTACTTTGTTTCTGTTATCAAATAAAAATATCTGATAAAACAATTAAATTAACCTAAAATTATTACCAAATACAAAAATTTTAAAATAAACAAAAATGTTTAACAAATTCCTAATTTTTTAGACGCTATAGCGTCATCTCCGACAAAATTATGAGCAGGTTAGTTCAAGAGTGGAGGTATTTTTCATAGTTTTGTTATATGATTACTTCGTTTACTGTGGCATAAAGCGACATTTATATATGCAAGTATTAGTGACAAAAAAACAATTTTTCGAAAAGGTCTTCGAAAGTCAACATTTTCTTTAAATTTTCAGTTAACAAACTAAGTTTTTTTTTGTTACCTACCTGCAAAATACTTTTATGTTCTAGAACGCCAAAGTCTTTTTGTTCTAGAACGATTTACGATTTTATTAATTAACCAATATACATTATAAGTAATATAACATTTCAATACAAAACAGTAACAATTATAAACAGGACGATTACAATTTATTTTGCAGTACATGTAAATTGAAAGTGCCGATATTACAGTAATCTAAATTTATGCCAGATCCAGTGCTGTCAGTTCTCTCCTCAGAGAAATGGATATATTTATTAGTTTTCTTGCTGTTACCCCTTTTGAGTTATCTTGAAAGACTCCTTTATATTATATTTTTTCACCCCTAGCCCGGGGTTGAAAAGAAAATTGCTGTCACTTTTTGTTATTATACAGGGTGATTCAGAACTTATCCAAAAAAAAAAAAATTCTGGATGTACAGGGGACCCTTACAAATACAATTTTGTACAGAAAAAATCAAAAAGGTGAGTTCGAAATTGATTTAAAAATACACTTCTGCACGGCACTGGAAACTGGTCCACTGTAAAANCTTTTTTTTGTACTATTAAAATTAACAGAGTTAGGGAGACTAGAACTTAAGGGATGATTTCAGAAATTAAAAAAATTATAACAAACAGAAAAATGACTGAATTTTATATTTATTTTTTTCAATCTACCCTAAAAAATGTAAACTTTCTTCTCAGAGAAATAGATATATTTTTTAATTTTTAATAAAAAAGATATCAATTTCAATTTTTTTAATCGTTAATTTTTATGACACATTTTTTTTCCATGCCGTTCGATTGATTATTTGAAATAATGAAAAGTTGCTTTCGAAATTTTGTTTTACGACAAAGAAAAAATTACATTCGCTTTGTGAAATTATAACTTTTTTATTAAAAATTAAAAAATATATTTATTTCTCTCAAAAGATAGTTTATATTTTTTAGAGTAGATTAAAAAAAATATAAAATCCATTCATTTTTCTGCTTATGATTTTTCTAAATTTCTGAAATCATCCCTTAACTTCTAGCCTCCCTAACTCTGTTAATTTTAATAATACAAGAAAAAGTCAAGAGGCCATTTTTATGTAGAATTTTATACTCTACAACTTTTATAAGAGCTGTTACCATTTTTGAGTTATCTAGAAAAACTCCTTTATATATTTTTTTCACCTCGAGCCGGGGGTTGAAAAGAAATTACTGCCACTTATTATTATTATATACCTCAAGTAGGTATTTTGAACCAAATTTCAGCATAAAAGCAAACTAGAAAATGATTCTCAGAAAAGACTAATTTTACAAATTCAATTTAACGGTTTTTTTTCTTCATTTTTCTGGTATTTTGCTACCCGTGAACAACAGTTAAAAAATTAATCAAATAAACTTTTGTACTAATGGCTATTTTTTATGAAAATGGTTTTGCACAACCAAAAATCTCACACTGAAAAAAGCAGAGAAATACAAAATACAAAATGCATTCCACTGTATATCGCGGGTTTCGAAAAGGTGAAGTAAGTAATAATAGTTATTTATGTANGGTCATCGAAAGTCTACATTTTCTTTAAATTTTCAGTTAACAAACTGAGTTTTTTTGTTACTTAGCTGCAAAATACTTTTATGTTCTAGAACGCCAAAGTCTTTTTGTTCTAGAACGATTTACGATTTTATTAATTAACCAATATACATTATAAGTAATATAACATTTCAATACAAAACAGTAACAATTATAAACAGGACGATTACAATTTATTTTGCAGTACATGTAAATTGAAAGAGCCGATATTACAGTAATCTAAATTTATGCCAGATCCAGTGCTGTCAGTTATCGTAGCTTTCAGTTCTGGGTGTTCTTTCTATATATGTCTTCGTTACCATACTAAAACGCCACCCCCCATGTCGTTTAATGGTGGTAATATCGGCCCCTGCATCGGCTAACAGAGTGGCGGAAGAACGTCTAAAGTAATACCCTGTATAAGTTTCCGGATGAGGCAAATTGAAATAAGTTGCTGTTTCTTTTGACACAATCCTTATTTTGTTGACGCCAACCACATTTTTCCCTGACATACTTCACAAAAAATCTTCGACTTGTAGTAACTGTCGGAAGTAAAGCACATTATTTGTATATCTTCATTTGGTCTGGACTTGAAATCGCAAAACATCTCGGAAGTATGATTTTTGGAATCGGGAATTGTTATAATAATAATTGAATCTTTGTCTTCTATTCGATCGATTTATATTGATTTGAATTACCTTTTCTAGCATAAATCTATATTCAGGTGCTTCTTGTGAAAATCTCTCCATTTCCTCTTTTGTTAGAATTCTGGCCTCTTTCGGACGGTATCTAACTGATTTGCTTTTCAAATATGGTATTAGTTTTAGAAATTTTCTGATATTTACATTATTTTTGGCATTCAGTGTACCTTTTAACATGAAATATACTGACTATAACGTCGAAGGTTTAATTTTATTAATTTTATGTTCGAAATATGCCAGTACACCACCCTATGAATTCGTTGTAGGCAATCTCATACTGTTTCGACGATTTTTTGGAGATTAATTGTGAAACAGCACTTTGTGCTGCTTCCAATACTTCTGGTAAACGCTGCTGGAATATGAATTACAATATACAGGGTGTTCCTAAATAAGTGACGCAACGGAAAACTGTAAATTCCTCTTTAAAAATAAACATTTTTTTCCTCTTCCATTTTTCTCTCCGGGCTTTCGTTTTCGAGATACACGGTGTCAAAACTTTAATTTTTTTTTAGTTTTTCGCCAATATCTTAGGAATCGTTTGAACTACAGGACTGAGCTTTTGTACACACATTACCACTATTAATAGCTACTTTTTCGCACCCTTCTCGAATTCATTGGACGTGCCAGTGGTGGAGATTTTAAGGTATCGTAAGGGTTTTTCCCCCCCTAAATTTTACGCCACTGGAAAAATTGACTTTTGACAGCAAATTCTAAAGCGCCAATGAATTTTACACAATAAGAGTTCTCTTGGTTCATTGCTCTAAAGTCAACCGTTTTCAAGAAAAATGACTTTTTATGAACAAAAGCAAACATTTTGCTAACGTTTCGAAAATCTTTTGTAATTCAAAAAATAGGTAGTAATAATTAACAATTTTAACGAAATTTAACAACAGATAGGATTTTAACTTTTTTTTATCAATTTGGCGAGTAAAATTTACAGAAACTGTTCAAAATTACGTCCGTTGGCTTGAATGCACGCATTACATCTTCTAATCATGTTTCTTTCTGCCGCTGCGGCTTCACCTCTATCGGTCAACTTTTCGATAGTATTGACATGGATTTCATAAACGATGCATTTCGTTCTCCGGATGTTCTGTTCAGTTACTTGCACTTGCAAAATGTTCAAAATGCAAAATGCAAAATGTAAAAAATTTTCGAAACGTTAGCAAAATGTTTGCTTTTGTTCATAAAAAGTCATTTTTCTTGAAAACGGTTGACTTTAGAGCAATGAACCAAGAGAACTCTTATTGTGTAAAATTCATTGGCGCTTTAGAATTTGCTGTCAAAAGTCAATTTTTCCAGTGGCGTAAAATTTAGGGGGGGAAAAACCCTTACGATACCTTAAAATCTCCACCACTGGCACGTCCAATGAATTCGAGAAGGGTTCGAAAAAAGTAGCTATTAATAGTGGTAATGTGTGTATAAAAGCTCAGTCCTGTAGTTCAAACGATTCCTAAGATATTGGCGAAAAACTAAAAAAAAATAAAGTTTTGACACCGTGTATCTCGAAAACGAAAGCCCGGAGAGAAAAATGGAAGAGGAAAAAATGTTTCTTTTTTCAAGTGGAATTTACAGTTTTCCGTTGCGACACTTATTTAGGAACACCCTGTATAATTCTGACATTACTTTTTCAAACTAATTTGTATTGTTGATTAGGTTTCTATCTTTATGATACCGCGCCTAAACCTTTTTGATTCAAATTGATTGCATTCTCGAATGGACATTTTGCCTTGCTAACTTGAAGCAAAAGTGCCATTTCGCGTTGTTGAGACAAAAATAACTATTTTTGTCTATTCTAATGCTCTCTAATGGCTGAACGAAGCTACTTAACATAGAGGTAAGTTTTGTTAAATCCGCTTATTGTGATTGCAGGAAATTGTGATAGCTCCACGTATACGGAATATTGAGACACCTTATATATAAAAAATATTCTAAAACCTTTCAAGAAATGATCTTTTATTTTAGCACAATTGTTCATTGTTGAATGGAGACACTAAAAATATCGTAACAGCAGTTTCGAGTAGCGAAGAAACTAACTTAGTACTGATTTTACCTCAAGAGTGGCCCAATTCCTTCGATAGCACTTTCGAAATTTTATGTTCTCTCAGCAAGGTTCAAATTGCAGCAAGTTGTCGAAAAGCATTCGTTGCCCATAAATTATCGCCGCAATTTGATGATTCTTTGCTGATATTTCACGCACCTAAAGAAGCTAACGCACGTGCCTACAATGTGGTCATATACTCCAGGTATTAAAAAATTTGTTCACCACGAGTTAAAGATACTTACTGATTTTTTTCATAGAAATATGGATAGTTTGATGTCCCTTCTTCACCACTTGCATCAAAATATCCCTGGGGTTTTGATAATACCAGAGAGATTGTACGAAAATTACGAACTTCAGCACCCAGAACGGATATCCGTAGAAGAAGAAACGTCAAAATTAAAGGAGTGTGTAAAGAGAGAAATAAATTGCGTGATGAATTTTTTACGCGAATCGCAAGGAACGAAAGATCCAGACAAAAATGAGTTTCACCAAAAATTCGCTGAAAGGCAACTAGAGACAAATACACATTATCTAAGACTACTAAAAGCCACTTCTCAGTCATCAGATGATTGATGTGATGTGGAGAGTGAAAAGGTGTGTCGCAGAGAACCTTTTGCTTTATTTTGTAACAAAGAATGCCTCCTAAAATAAATCATAAGGTGTGTAGATTAGGCATTAGGCTGTTAAATTCTTCAGTACTTGTTCAAAATTAAAACGTATTTTTTTTTAATTTCTGTACTGTAATAAATAAATGTGTTAATATCTGCGTTATTTTTAGTTTATTTACATTTGAAAAGAGATTTAATAATTCGGAGAAAAACGGAAATATTGTAAAAAAACCCTGCTTCGTACAAAGCAAAAAGTTGAAAAAAAGTGGTTGAAGAAACTCGAAATAAAAACCCAAAATACTTATGAAAATATTTTTTCAAGTATATTTTGCTGGAATAAATGTGAATGAATTAGAAATTTACATATTTTAACAAAATTTATATAATCGCAATGGAGATGCTCTCAAATGTAAAACTAGTAGAACTCAAATAAAAATTCACAAGTTGTAAATATAATTTTTCTTAATTAAAACAATAAAAAGAAACAAAACAAAGAATAGATACAAATAGTCCAATTAAATAGGCCTTTAAATCGGCAATTTTGGTCAACTTGCCTGAATTTTTGATATAAGTTAGTTTGAGGCAAGATAAAATAAAGGAGTTTTTCAAGATAACCCAAAAGAAGTAAGAGCTAGAGCTTTTAAAAGTTGTAGAACATAAAATTCTACATAAAAATAGTCCATTGACTTTTTTTTGTACTATTAAAATTAACAGAGTTAGGGAGACTAGAACTTAAGGGATGATTTCAGAAATTAAAAAAATTATAACAAACAGAAAAATGACTGAATTTTATATTTATTTTTTTCAATCTACCCTAAAAAATGTAAACTTTCTTCTCAGAGAAATAGATATATTTTTTAATTTTTAATAAAAAAGATATCAATTTCAATTTTTTTAATCGTTAATTTTTATGACACATTTTTTTTCCATGCCGTTCGATTGATTATTTGAAATAATGAAAAGTTGCTTTCGAAATTTTGTTTTACGACAAAGAAAAAATTACATTCGCTTTGTGAAATTATAACTTTTTTATTAAAAATTAAAAAATATATTTATTTCTCTCAAAAGATAGTTTATATTTTTTAGAGTAGATTAAAAAAAATATAAAATCCATTCATTTTTCTGCTTATGATTTTTCTAAATTTCTGAAATCATCCCTTAACTTCTAGCCTCCCTAACTCTGTTAATTTTAATAATACAAGAAAAAGTCAAGAGGCCATTTTTATGTAGAATTTTATACTCTACAACTTTTATAAGAGCTGTTACCATTTTTGAGTTATCTAGAAAAACTCCTTTATATATTTTTTTCACCTCGAGCCGGGGGTTGAAAAGAAATTACTGCCACTTATTATTATTATATACCTCAAGTAGGTATTTTGAACCAAATTTCAGCATAAAAGCAAACTAGAAAATGATTCTCAGAAAAGACTAATTTTACAAATTCAATTTAACGGTTTTTTTTCTTCATTTTTCTGGTATTTTGCTACCCGTGAACAACAGTTAAAAAATTAATCAAATAAACTTTTGTACTAATGGCTATTTTTTATGAAAATGGTTTTGCACAACCAAAAATCTCACACTGAAAAAAGCAGAGAAATACAAAATACAAAATGCATTCCACTGTATATCGCGGGTTTCGAAAAGGTGAAGTAAGTAATAATAGTTATTTATGTACCTAGGGAATTATAAGGGCCTTAATTACCGATGGCAAAGTTTGCGTCCCGAGGGCGTCCCGCCCGAGGGACAGCAATTGCCTGAGGTTATTAAGGCTCATTAATTCCCGTGGTACATAGATAATTTTATTTCTGACCGATTTCAATAAAATATTGTTTATTTTTAAAACGGAAAAAATGTACCAATTTATTACCTTCCCAGTATATTTGAATCAGGTACCATTGATTATAAGAGTTTTGTTGTTGCTAGGTTGTTGCTATGTTACGTGTTTATAAACAGAATTGTTACTTGCTTATAAACAGTACTTTGTTATCAAGCTGTGTTTGCGTTAAAAACGTGTTTTCTACCCCAAATATAATGGAGCAGATTTTGAAAAAAGCTGAAAAAGCAAGAGAATCATTAATTCCATCGAAAAGTGAAGCCGTATACCAAAAAGAATACAAGATATATCTGGAGTGGCTGACACGGAATAATGTTATGCCAAAAGATGCCACTGAAACTGTATTACTGGCATATTTTCAAGAATTGGTAAGGAATATTCTATGTTTTTCGGTAGATTTGGTAGTAATTTTGTTTATTCGTTGCAGTCAGAAACGTATAGTCCGAATTCTTTATGGACTAAATGGTCAATGCTAAAATCGAAGGTGAATATACATGAGAAACGAGATATCGCCAAGTTCAATGAACTAGAGGCTTTTTTGAAACGGAAGAGTAAGAGTTATAAGCCGAAAAAGTCTGCTGTTTTATCTCCTAATGATGTTATCAGATTTCTAAAGAACGCTCCTAATGAAATTCATTTATTGCATAAGGTAATTTTTTTCTTATTTTCCTTTTTGTGTGTATTTATTTCCTTTTTTTGTTTTAGGTTGTTTTGATTATGGGTTATTTTGGAGGATGCAGAAGTCAGGAACTTTTGAATATGAAGATATCGGATATAGAGGACCGGGATTCCGTTATGGTAGTGAACGTACCGGAAAGTAAAACTGGTGTATCGAAGAAATTTACAATTGTGGATGAAAAAGAGTTCTCTGCTTTGCCTTTATTAAGACTTTATATGTCTTTGCGTCCTAAAGGTATTGAACGATTTTTTTTGCGCTTCCGACAAAATAAATGTACATCTCAGCCAATTGGAAAAAACATGTTTGGGAAAATTCCCAGCAAAATCGCAATGTATTTAGGATTGCCAAACCCATCTTCCTATACGGGACATTGCCTTCGTCGCACTTCTGCTACTGCTCTAGCTAATGCAGGAGCAACTATGACTAACTTAAAAAGACACGGAGGTTGGAAAAGTTCCACGGTGGCGGAGGGGTATCTGGAGGATAGCATCGAATTGAGAAATAAAACGGCGCGTATGTTGTCTACTTTGCCATTAGAAGAGGCAGGTACCTCGACTGTAGTGAACAGAAGCTCCAGTCATACAAAAGAAGAAATTGTTTCCAGTGGCGGTAGTAATTTTCAGGGAACATTTCAAAATTGTACATTTATTATTTGTAATGACGCAAATAAATAAAATATGGTTCAGTTTTCATTTCATAAATATATACACATATATGTATATTAGCATTTTTCATTTTATTTTTACTTGTGAAAGGTGGAGGGAATTATAGAATCTATAATGTCCCAAGGGAGTTATGACTCTCTTTATTGATAGCGTAACTATGACGATATAAGCTTATAATATCCCGGTCAGAAATAAAGGAATAAACATCATCTTTAACAATGGAAATAGGCAAAACCAAATACATTTGAACTGTCAAAAATTATTACAAATGAAAGGCCATTGTCAGTTCAGAACATGTAAAACAGATTTTCGAAACGTCAACAATTTTTTGAAAGGCACGAATGTACGAGGTCTGTTCAGGAAATAACCAAACTTCAAGGCACTCCCCTCTCCTATTCACACACTTTTCCCAGCGCGGTGTTTCCATTTCACTAAGCAGTTCAGGATAGCTTCATTTGAAAAGGCCTTTTAATTCTTTGCTTTAATGTCCTCAATAGTCTGAAAGCAGCGTTTTTTCAACAATGATTTTAATTTCGGAAATTAGAAAAAACTCGCAAGGTGCCAGATCTGACGAGTAAGGAGGGTGACGGAGGACAGTATTGACGAATTGACAAAGCTAGGTGGGCAGACGTACTGTCTACAGGAATCATTGCTCGTCACAACTATGGCCCCTTTTTGCGGATTTTTTCACGTAAGCATTATAAAACGCCTTGATAGTACACGGTTCACTGGTTCACCTTGTAACGACAGTTCAAATTGCACAATTCCATTAAAGTTGGAAAAAACAGTGAGCATCACTTTGATCACAGACAAAATAGTAGGCTATATATAAGCTATATTGTCTGTGGTCACTGGCGGCCCGTGGGTTTGAATACAGGAGGGGCGCATTTTGAAAAGGGGACGTACATCATAAGAGCTGCGGGGGGTGTGGGGGGAAAATTTTAAGGAATTTGAAGGTCATTGTGTTTTGCAAGTACCCCAAAATGAATACTGTCAGTGTGTAAAGTAGCTACTTAGATACAATGCGAGAAATAAAATTCCAACGTGTGGGGGCTGAAGTGGATAATCGATCAACCAACCCAGTTACGATATAATTATGTAGATTACTGTAATAGTTCATTCTGTATAGTTTTTGAAGTTCCTTTAAAAACATGGGCATCACTAAGATGTTTATCTAAAACGGGATCAATTTTTGCACTAAGTATAGTCTATCAGATCTAAAAATACCCCTTTGTTTACCGAGTCACTTTTTTTATTATGTTCACGAAGAGGAAGGTTACATGTACCACATAGTTTTAAGATATTTATAATTTTTGAAAGAAACAATCGATTTTTCTTAACCGTTTCGTTATGACTATTTATTTGTTCTGCATAAGCACTATTTAAACAAGAAGCAAAGTTTACTCTTCCTAAAAGTAAAAAACTCACCAACTTATTTTTGTGTTTAGGAGAATTTTCATGATTCTTAATTTTAATTTCTAAATGTTTCAAGTCAGAAACTCCAGTTTTCGTCCAGATTTCTTCGCCTCCTCCAAACAATATACATACAAAACAAAAAAATCTATTTGTTTGGTCACAACCACACAACCACATGGTCTTATCATAAATGTTTTTATCAAATTTGCGAAAGCCGGCCCACTTTTGCACTCTTTCTGCACCTGAACTAAATTCAACACTGGCGTTGGACGTCCGTTATTTTTCAATTCGACTTTTTCCTCTAAACTTAAATGACTAATAACAAGTTTTTTTTATTTCACAAACCCTCATTTTAAACTTAAACTTATAAAATATGTCTTAAAAAGCGCCAAAGCAAAAACAAACCACGTATAACCACACTTCAGTGATACGGGTTACTGCCTCATGGAGTCCCAAAACAAAGCTCGCGAGCCTATCGTCGCCTATCCCCTCCACGTGCCATTCGTGCCAATTTATCCAATCATATGTAAAAATATGCTTGCACGATGGACTCAGATTTCACGGTCCGCGATGGAATGGGGATTGCGCGCACGGTCAAACATAACTCGTTGGTACGATCATAGATGGCAGATGGCATTAATCTAAGCTACGTTCACGGAGTACATGCACTTTATGCAACCAACCTAACATCCAAGAGATATTGAATGCATACCATTTAGATTTCTTATTGATTTAAATAAATACATTATTTTAAGTATAGTTTGAAAATATCTGGGGGGCGGAGTCCCAGAGTCCTCCTTCACGAGCCGCCACTGTCTGTGGTAGTAGCTAGAACTCCTTATATTCCAGATTTTAAAAAAATATCAAATTTTCAATGTTTTTCCAATTTTTATGAGGGAAAAAAGTTTTTCCCGTCGCCCATTTTTTCCGGACTTCTGCATTCGACTCGCAACCATTTTGAAGATTAGATCTGTTATCAAATACAAGGTAAGTTTTTGTTTATCGTAAACTATTAAGGGACTGTTTTTGAATTATTCCTAAGTAGGTAGCAGGATTAAAAATTTTTTTATTAAGTGTAATTATGCCACATGGTTAATTATTATATCAGTTTTTTTAATGGAGAAATCAAATCGTAAATAGTTTTATTTTTTAAATTTTTTTCTAGGGAAAAAATGAATAGGGAAATATTAAAACAAGTTTTAAAAAAGTAACAGAATATATTAAATACATCTAAGTAACAAAATTTTCAAAATAAAGTAACAAAAATAAAAGGTATTGCATATTTGTAACATAGACGATATAAACACATGCTTAAAGTAACAATATTCTCAATAATAAATTGGCATACAGTAAAAAAATTGAAAACATTTTATATTTGCGATTTAATTTAGATGCATTTAAAGCTAACATAACTTTTTCAGTCTACATTAAATTAAAATCTTAAATAAAACTGTAACTATACTATATCTTATATCTAAATTTTTATTAACTGAGCAAGTCATTTAATATTTAGGAAAAATAAGTACCTCCACCATTTGAAAACAGGAGAGGCTTTTATACGTGAACAAGTTTTTATTTATTTTGTGATATCGTTTTTGTTTTTAATTTTTTAAGAAAAATTCGAGATCACCCCTAACCTTAACCCAAACGCACAGGTACTTTGAAGTTTGCACAAACTCCGGTCTATATACACAACGTTGTATTAATCAACCAAAGATGGAATAGCAGTTTAAAAGCAGATTTTGACTAGGATATCTTAGGACTGTGAAGATTCGAATATAATGTTTGACGGCTTTAATCAGCGATACCGATCTTAATGCTTGTTTGTAACATATTCGTGTCGAAACACTTAATTAAAAATACTGAAGGGTGTCAAAATTTACAGAACAAATGTAGTTATTTGGGATATTAACTGCTATCAAAACACCAAATTGCACGTCCCAAATAATAAATTTAAAAAATAAACTCCTTTATTATTATATTTAGTTAAATTCTGCTTCGATATAATTGTTTTTCGATATCCTTTAATAGAATGGCGGACCTGGGTAGGCTATAAACAGATTTTGTATACACTCTTCCCTGACAAAAGGTTATATAGTATCAAGAGTTTCTGTTGTTCTATTAATAGTGTAATATCCTTAATCAATAGTGACCACAGCAATATAAAGTTCAGTAGGGCAAGAAAAGCATATTACTACTTATAAACCATTTTATATGTTTGTACAAAATATTTTGTATAATAATGTAATATATTAAACAGAAACAATTGAAGTGATTTTTAGCTAATAGATGTATTTTCCTTTGACGAAAATATATAGAGAACGACTTGAATCCTGAGACACTTTGGCAGGTTAACATGATATGTATATAATAAAACAAAATCAAGAACTCCATTGATTTTGACATTAAAAAATTTAACTTTTGCTGTTAAAGTCGATAATTTTATACTTTCTGTAAAGAGTCTAATTTATTGAAAGTAAGAATAAAAGATTTATAATCTATGCTTACTTGAAATGAAATATAGTAGTCAATTTTTAAGGAGCAATATAACTTAATACTAGCGATATATTTTTAGAGAGTTATATGTCTTAATAAACAATGAAGAAATAATTTATTTACAAAAGGTAAAAACAATTCAAATACTCTTCTACAAATACTTCAAATACAACTATAAATTAAATTATTTTAAACGAATATTAAAAAATATTGCACTTATAAAACCCTAATAGCTAAGAAAATATAAAATATTGCACATTACGTTGTATATTATCACGCACTTTTAAATTAGGTGTCCCAAAATTAACGCAGGATTTGAAATGTGCGCCAGAGAAGAGTTGGCAGCTTTATGTAAGGTCACAAGGGATGAGCGGTGAAGATTGTGAAAATTCATTACAAATACGGAGAGTGTGTAACTGAGAGTATGCCAAATGAATTGCAGAGGACATCTGTCCGATATCTGCTTTCATATTTAATGTCTACTCTTTAAAAACATGTAAAAAACTTTGCGCCAATTTTTTAATTAATAAAATCTGTTTTCCACATATGAAATTCTGCGTTCCTTGTGGGACACCTTTTATCTATAAAATCGAAAATATTGCACATCTTAAACGACACAAAAAAAATAAAAAAAAATAGGTACGAGATATTGCACTCAATTACAATCTAATCACTTAAACATTATTTGGCAAATTATTATATCTCAAGACAAATTCGGAAATTGAAACCAGAATAAAATAAAAAAAAAACAATCATCATCCACTATATTTATGAAAAGTCATTATGGTTAAAATTATTTGTCCTTTCAAATACTGAATTCTATTCCGTCTATTTTCTTCTTAGTTTATTTCATTGCGATATTCGCTCACGCAAACGGGTGTCATCCCAGAAATTGAGATGTAAAGAAAACATGGGACCATATTTCTGCTCACAACTTTCGAACAGATTAACAGAATAACCAACCAACGAAATACTGGTTATAAAAAAATAAAAAATGAGCCACATTTAATGTGATAAAAACGATATTTGTAACTTTAAAACTATGACTGCGAGATCACTCTCAAAATGAAGTCGAAGTTTTTTTACATCTCAGCTGACTTAATTTAGAAAACAACAGTGTCCAATGATAATATTAATATAGTGTTCAGTTTATGTATAATTATGTGTTTGAATATCTTGAGATACCAGAAAAAATCTACACTATCGGATATTCCTATAATTAATATTGCCTTCCGCCCTAAACTAGATCATATTGCACTTCCGGCCATTAAAATATATCACAACAAATATTGCAAACGGTTATAAATACTCTAAATTAAACATATATATTATTTTTCGTCGGCGTCGATATTAGTTACCATTACACGTATGTTTATTAGCACACTATCCAAGTAGGCTGAAAAGTTAACATCCTGAATCAGTGCTAGGTTTGTCTCAAATCCGTTTGGGTATAGTCTTCATCTTCATCTTGGTTCATTATCTCTTTAGTGACTCACTATCATTCTATAATATTTTTAATAATTTGTAATTCAAACTTATAAAAGCCAAATCGAATACAAAAGATTTGAAAAATCCATATTAGTGGAGTCAAGATAGATTTTGCGCGGAAATTACTGGAAGAGAGAACTTTTTATTTTTCGCTTTGTATGAAGTTGTCAGAAACAACATATAAAAAGTTACCAACTGCAGAGTGTACGCTAAATTATTTATTTAACAAATTAGTTGCAAAATTACAGTTTTTGCAAAATATATAAAAAAAATTAATTTAAAAAAAATAGAATTTTTTTTCTAATGTACGAAAAATGAAACGCGCGGCCCCCAAGTATAGCTCTCGAAGAGCGCGCAGCCTCGAGCGCGCTACATTAAATTTGTTATAACTTTTGATCTAATTCATTAAATCGACCTCACGAAAATTTAAATGAAAGAAGAGTCATCCGACTATCAACATTTTATGCCCTTAATTTAATTGTCATTCTTTTAATTTTTAAAATAAATATCTGTAACTTTCACAGATTACTCTTCAAATGACAATTGAAATAGTGAGCGATATGGAAAAAATCTTAAAAATTTAATTTTAAAAAATATTGACCCCAACACATTCAATAATTTTAAAAAATCACAAATTTTACTTTTTAGGCCATACCTTATAGATCATCAAAGAATTTAGTTAAAACCACCTTAAAAAAGTAAATCCAGCGAAAAATAATTTTTTTATTTATAGTAATAAGTGGAAAATTGTTATAACAGCAAAATAATAACGTTTTGTTTATAACGTTGATTTAATATTCATTTTAAAACGTATATATTCTGTATCTGAAATTGTGAATATAAGTTCTCTTATTGAGGTAGACACAGATATGAATTTGGGTGACGAAGCTAAGCAGTGAGCACACCAAATATTTTTTTGTTACTTATAGTTTTATTTATTTTAAAATTACAAGTATGAGCGAGTTTGATTTAAAATCGATAATTGTTAAATAAATTATTTAAAATAGTCGGCCATATTGGATCAGCCATTTTGAATTTTCATTTTCCGACTTCATATTCTTTTTCAGCGACATCGGAAACCCCCTATATTGTCAATTTTAAAGAATTTGATTTAAAATTCATTGAATTATTTTAAATGTTCTTAAAAAAACTATTTATTATTGTTTAAACAATTAAAAAACAATTAGCGTACAAAAATAAGTTTGTAACTTTTTTCTAATACTTATCTCCAAGTAATTTCAAAAAGTATTAGGAAAATCCATGCTTCCCATAATTATTACGAAATAATGCGTAATTTTAAGTTATCTTGACTCCATTATATCCGGAATATTGAAATATCAATTTAAAGAAGACGGTGATACTACCAGATCAAGGTTCGTACTTCAGGTCATCAGATTAAAAGTCTCTTTAAAACTGATTTAAATTTCAATTGACTGTTTAGTTTTATGGGAGTTGGAACAAACCTACAGCTTCTATACATTTTATGATTGGACTAGATTCTTCAGCTAATTACATATGACAGTGACACATCTAACTTGGTGAGTGTAACAGTAACTTACAAATCATATAATCCTCTACTGACTGTAACTGGGATCACAGTGGTGTAACTTACAGTTTCCGAATCACTGCTGGTGTGTCCATCGTCCCCACCTATCACACCGCTGTCCAAAGAGGCGTACCCACCGTAACTCATCGGTTTCCTCTGGTATTTCCCGAAGAAAACCGAATGCGTCTCCACACTTTCGGCACCCGACTCGCTGTGGCCGTCTCCCAAGCTCTCGTCGGTGTCACTCTCGAAGACTTCGGAGATATTGACCTGGTTTTTGGCCAAGGATTCGTTGGAATCGGTACTGAGGTAACCTGAGTCTTCAGGCTTGAGGGTATTCCGCCACGTTCGTCTTTGGTTTTTGCTCTTACCCTGGATGTCGCCTCCCTTGGTTGGTCTGAAGAAAGGTGGGATGTGTTTGGACGCGTGTAGAATGAACTGGTTGTTGTTGTCTTTTTTTAGGATCACGTCTTTCGTCTGGATAAGGTTCGTTATGTTTCCGTCTTTCTTCGACTTCTGGACAAGACACAGTCTGTAATCAGGAGTGTCAGAACAGCTGTAGCAATGGTCAGGTGGCTTATCTGCATGTTTGTGGTTGCTGGCACTCCTGCTTAGTAAGTTTTTTGGGGGCACGTCAGCTCTTGAGGTTAAATCTTCAGCTGAAACAATATTGCGTATTTATTTTCCATTATAAACATCATTTTGTCAAATTGAACAAGGTGTTTCTAAATTATAATGCCTAAATTAAACAGAGAAAGATTTTGCAGTTTCTTTTTAATATATCTCTGGTAATTTTATCAACTTGAAAACTTTTAATAAGCATTTTTGGCCCCACGTTATTAGCTAATTTTTTCTATCCCATGTTTCAACTTTACACCATATTTTACTAATAATTTTATACATTTTGCGTATTTTAAGTAGTTATTTTATCGCATTGAAAAGTTATTTTGGATATTTTTGAAAGTGTTTTGTGTTTTGTGACATATTTTACAGATCTTGAAATATTCTAAATCTGATTCGACTAATTTTGATGTATTTTGAAGCAATTTTAATGCATGATGATATATATCCTGAAATTATTAATATAATTTTAACATTTACATTAGATAATGGTCTAACATAAGATGCTCAAACTAGCTCTCTCTCTATGACTGATAATACCTCGTAATATTTCAAAAACTTCTACATATTTTCGAAATTTATCGAAAAACCTGCAATTACTTTGAAATGCGTTTAAAACTTTACATACATTGCTCTGCGAAATAATATACTTGTCTTTCAATACTAAAATATCTAAATACATTAATATACCTCGAAAACTTCGAAGTATTTCGAAATAATCGAAAAATCTGGAATTACCACAAAAAACGTCGATGCTTTGAAATAATTCCTTGATAGTAATTGAAATACTTCGGAAAGTTCGATGTATTTCAAAAGAAAAATCTAGAATTACTTCGTAATACATAACTTGGATACTTGCATATACTTCAAAATATCTCGAATACTTCGAAATATTTCAACAAATATCGAAAAGTCTGTAATTACTTTTAGGTAGTCGAAAACTTCATAATACATACTATGAATACTTCTAAATACTATAACATGCCTCTCAATAGTTCGAGAAAACATCTAAATATGTTGAAATATTTTGTAAACTGTGAAGTATTTCGAAATAGATCGAAAAAAACTGAAATTACTTCGAAATACATAATTTGGACTTTCGAAATACTTCAAAATATCACAATTGAAATGCTTTGAAAACTGTGAGTATTTCGAAATAGATAGAGAAAACCTGGAATTACTTCGAAATGCGTAGAAATTTTTAAAATATGTACCTCAAAAATTTCGAAATACTCCAAAAATGTCTTGCGATATTTCGAGGAAATTTCTGAATACATCAAAATACCTCAAAAACTTCGAAATATGTGCAAAAAAACTGGAAGTACTTGGAAATACGTCAAAATATCTTGAAAATGTTAAAATACTTCAAAATGTTTCGAGATATATTGAGAAAACCTCTAAATACATCGAAATATCTCAAATACTTTTAAAACACCAGAAATACTTTAAAATACCAGAAATAACGAGCGTTGAAATAAAAACGTGGTCAAGTTGGTTCTGAAAATTTGGACGTAGGGCGTAGCGTATAGCAAATGAACTTAAACGTCATCTGTCAAAGCGCTATATCGCCGCTATCAATTTGAATATTTTCGTTTTAAAAAGCGTTTAAAATGGTGTTTTCTCAAGAACAAAAAGTGTTTATCATAGAGTCCTACTTTAGAAATGGACGCAAGATTGATGGAATATGGAAGTATTCTATTGAGGAATGTTTCATAGAATTTCAAAATCAATTTCCCGGCGTTGTTGAGTACAAAATTTTTCAAAGTGCAGTTCAGCGTTGTGTTAATGTTTTTCGTGAAACGGGCAGTGTAACAAGAAAAGAAGGAAGCGGCCGACCTAAAAAGCGGACTGAAGAATTAAAAGAAAATGTCCAACAAATAATGGAAAATGCGCCAAGAACTTCTGTACGTGTTTTATCACAAATGGTGGGAGTATCAGTCGGTACCTGCCACACAGTGTTAAAAAAAGATTTGCGTTTGTTCTCCTATCGTTTAACTTGTCAGCAAGAACTTCATGAAGTTGATTTTCCGCGACGGGCTGTATTTTGTGAATGGTTTTTAAACAACTACGGTGAACTTCATAATATCACCTTTTTTTCTGATGAAGCCTGGTTTCATTTAAGTGGTTACGTAAACTCACAGAATATGAGAATGTGGTCTTCTGAAAAACCAGATAACTTTTTTGTCGAGGGCCCTCTACACGCTCAAAAAATTGGAGTTTGGTGTGCTCTCAATCGAAGGAGGATTTATGGACCTATTTTTTTTAATGGTACTCTTACTGCGCAAAGGTATAGAGAAGAAATTATCGCTCCTTTTGTTAACCAGCTGGAAGAAAACGAAATTACAAACTTTTACTTTCAACAAGATGGCGCAAGGGCACATACGGCAGGCGAGACGATGAATATGTTGAGGGAAGTTTTCCAAAATCGACTAATAAGTCTCAATGCTGAACATGAATTTCCACCGAGGTCATGTGATATTACGCCGTGTGATTTCTTTTTGTGGCCTTACCTTAAAAACACTATTTTTGAACTGCCTATTCCTGATTTAAACCATCTGCAGGCTCGACTTATAGACAAGATTCGTGAAATTAACAATACCCCGAGCATCTTAGAAAATGTCTTTAATTCTTTGAGGAACAGGTGTGAAAAGTGCTTGGAACAAGGAGGGGGACACTTTCAGCAGCTGCTTTAATTTATTGTTATAACAAGGAGGGGGACACTTTCCGCAGCTCCTTTAATTGTTTGTTATTGTTATCACGATTATTCTTTAAAATAAAGTTATATAGTCATTAACGTTATTGAAACTGACAGCTGCTATACAGCTCGTTGAGAAATGAGGTTAAGTTGGTCGCTATAAGCTACTCCCTACGTCCAATGTGTCAGAGCCAACTTCGACCACGTTTTTATTTGAACGCTCGTTACTTTGAAATAATTATCTCGAAATACATCACCATAGTTTCAAAATTAGCCGAATCATCTTCAGAAACTAAAAAAAGCTATAAAAAAGTTGCATTAAGTACGAGAAAGCATTGAAATATGTCAAAACGCCTTTAAAATATATACCAAGTAGTTTCAGGAAATAAATAAAAAATCGTTAAAATATCAAACTTTAAAGATAAAGGTCAAAGGGGACGATCAAAGGTCGCAAATCAAAAATTTCAAAGTTAATGACTGACTTGTAAAAGGTTAAAGGTCAACAACAGAAGATCAAAGGTATTTCTAGGCATTTGTAACATAATTCGAAGTATGTTAAAGTTTTTGAATTATTTCAACGTATTTAGTGTTTTTGAGATGTTTCAATGTTTTTAATACCAAAATTATATGTATGTGTGATATAACCTTCTTTACTTAATGTATTTAGTAAGTAAGTAAGTAAGTAAGTAAGTAAGTAAGTAAGTAAGTAAGTAAGTAAGTAAGTAAGTAAACATTTATTTCCTTCAGTTACAGCAAATTATAATTATTTTACATTTTTGTAGTATTACTACATTTTATATACGTAACAGCAAACCTAATTAAAGGTGTAAGGAAAGTATTTCGTTGTCAACAACCCCAATAATTATTACTATAATTATGACCTTGCTTAATTACATCCAATAAATATACAGCTGACTAGGATAAAAAAATTAATACTTGAAAAAACAACATATTTAAATCCGAAAACATTTGATAGTAAATTTAATCACACACATAAACTAAGTACGTTTAAACTATTTTTTGTTTCGCAGGACGTGATAAACCGCTCTACTATCTCATACTTAAAAAATATTCATTTAAAGAATAGAATTCATAATTTTTTAAAAATATTTTCAATTTACGTTTAAATGCCTTGTAATTTAATGATTTCAGATAAGACGGTAATGTATTATAAATTTTAATACCAGTGTACAATGCACCATTACGCGTTGTAGTATAATTATATTTTGGTAATACGAGATTTTGCCGTCTTACAGGGTAACCATGGAAGTCACTTGGTGTGTTTATTAAATGTTTGTTTTTATGAATTAAAATAGCTACTCTGTAGATATATAAGTTAGCTAGAGTAAATATTCCTATTTTTTTAAAATAACCTCGGCATGACTCCCTGCAAGACAATTCACACAAAATTCGAATAGCTTTTTTTTGTATCATAAATATATCTATGAAACCAGTAGACCCCCCCCACAATTCTACTCCATATTGCAGTAAACTTTGGAAGTAAGCAAAATATACAATTCTTGCTGTACAATAATCAACATTTCTTTTTATGGTTATTATTGCATAAATGGCTTTTCCTAACTTATTTTTTAAATTAGAAGTATGCTCGGTCCAGTTTAGTTGAGAGTCTATATAAATTCCCAGAAATTTCGTTGAATTTACCGGTTGGATTTGATCATCGTTTAATTTTAGAATAATGTCTGTCGTTCCGCGTAGTTGAAATGTTATGTTGTTAGTTTTACTGCAATTTAAAACCAACTTGTTGGCGAGAAACCAATCAGAAATACTTTCTAATATATTATGAGTTTTTTGAATTAAATTATTTCTGTTAGTCTCCCGTATCAACAAGCTGGTATCGTCAGCAAATAACGAAAATGTTACGTTTGGGAAATTAGGAACAATATCATTAACGTACAATAAAAACAAAAGTGGTCCTAAAATAGATCCTTGCGGCACGCCGCTTTGAACTGTCGCAAACTCCGAGCGAATTTTTTTTGTTATACAACCGTCGATCTGAATTATTTCAGTGCACATTTGTCTTGCAACTAAATATGTTTTAAACCAATTTCTTTCTGTGTCAACTATACCATAGTAATTAAGTTTATCTAATAATATCTGATGATCAATGCAATCAAAGGCTTTCGACAGGTCACAAAATATGCATAACGGAATTTCTCTATTTTCCAAGCAAGCGTAAATATTTTCTATTAATTTAAAAGCGGCGTCTGTGGTATTACAATTTTCTCTAAAACCGAACTGTGAACTATCTAAAATATTACCCTCACTTAAATATTCATCATTTATATAATGTATTTATTGATTTTGGATATCTGCTGGAGAAAATATAATTATGTTGTAGAAAATATGATGATTTGTGGAGGAAGGTATGAAAAATGGTCTTTGAAAACATACCTACCCGTCATAATCTTCCTTGGAGGTTTCGGACGCTCGTAAATGGGAGAACCGTCGTGGGGTGGAGGAGGAATCACGTCCGGCTGGACGATCCCCTTCGAGCGTTGCCTCTTCGAATGCCGTTCCTCTAGCGTCAATAACCTTCCTTCATTGTCGTTATTATTTAGAAACGAACGAAGTTCTTTCTCGTCTATTTCCTTTGAAATAACTCCCCGCGCTTTAGCCTCGTATATCTCCCGCAGGCTACCAAAGGCTCTGTTGAAGTTGCTGGCCTCAACGTTTTCCGTCTCCACTGTCATCGAATCGCTCCTGAAACTTCCAGTGGTTCGAAGAAGGATCTGATTGGGACGTTCTAGCGAGTCGACAAATTCGACGTCCTCGCTTGTTTTAGATTTCGTTTCTTTCTTACTAGGCTTCCTGTCCAGCGTATCCGGTTCGAAGCCGTCGGAATCATTTACGGGAATATAGTTGTCGGGGCAGTCTTCCACTTCGATCAGTAACCTCCCAGGTTTATCCAGTCCTTCTTCGTAACGCACCTTCAACGATTTCTTCTCCAGCGAGGAACAACTTGAATCGGTGGGAGTGGAAGGGTTGCTACCATAATTGTAGCCGTTGTTCACGTAAACTTCGCTTACCAGGCTATAACCGTTGTTCCTCTGCAAGAGTTCAGGTAGCTTGTATAACTTTCCGTCGATCACGGTGCCTTTCTTCAGGACGATAAGCTCGTAATCGTGCTCGTCTTCTTGGAGAATGTCCATGTTGATTTTGGAGATGGTCATGTTCCCGGTCTTTTTGTTGAAGATGGCGTTCCTCATGGTCATTTCCTCTTGGTCGGGAAGGGCGGTGCTTAAGCTAGGACTGGGTTGGGACGACGAAACGTCTGCGTATTCGGTTGGAGTCGAAAAGCCTAAAATAAAGAGCAACCATTAATCAGAGAGAAATATCGAACAGTAGCAAGTGATGACATTTTCATTTGTTGTTTTATGGTGATTTAATTCATCACTTACGTCTGTTATTTCCAGCAACAAGAAACTTTGTAACTCGATATAAATAACACAGCCCCACAAAAAAAAAGTATCGACGAAAGTTACAAAAAATTAAATTATTCTACCAGCTTACTAGACGTATGACTGTTCACTCGTTTAATTCCAGTTTATCATCATAGAGTCAGACAATCTGGTCCTATTTCATTCAAAAACAGAAAATAGATCAAAATGCTTAAAAATACAATTTTCATGGCGTAATTCGTGTTGCAGATTGAGAATGCAATAAAACTATCTACAAATCATTCTTATTGTTGCTAGAACGTGTTCTCTTTTCTTCAAAGGATCTATGCAAAGGGTTACGCTTTCGTTTAGTCCAGGGATGCACATACCACGGCCCGCGGGCCGCATGCGGCCCGCTGTCGATGTTTATGCGGCCCGCCAACGAATTTTAAAAGTATTCTACTCGCCGCGCTCCGGTCCAAGCATATTATTACGAGACTAGAAATCTGTCGCATCAACTAGATTACAGATTCGCGAAACATGTCGATCCCCGAACAAAGTGGATGGTTCTCGATGTTTGGTAACTCGTATAAATACGACGCATCGCCGGCTACCGGGGCAGTTAAGTTTTGACTACGGATAAGCGAACGTTATACTGTTTGAGAACTGTAATCTGTGACGAGTAAATATTTCGTCGTTCGAACTTGGCTTTTACCGACTGTAACATATAATATTAATTTTGATATGGATAAACCAGGCCCCAGTAAGAAACGTAGTCGTAAGGTTGAAGATGAAAATCGACAGTTTCATGATATTTGGACCGAAAAATACTTTTTTATTTCATCGCATAACAAAATTGTCTGTTTAATATGCAAGAGTAGTGTTTCTATTCCGAAGGAATATAATGTGAAAAGGCACTATGAAACCCAGCATCCAACTTTTACCAAATTAACTGGCGAAAATCGAACGCAAAGAATTTCCACTTTACAACGGGAACTAATAGGCCAGCAATCTATGTTTACAAAACCAATTCAAGATGCTGAAACAGCCACTGAAGTTAGCTTTGAAATATCTCGAATAATAGCGAAAACTTGTCGGCCTTTTAAAGATGGTGAGTTTGTTAAGCAATGTTTGGATATCGCCGCAAAAAAAATTTGTCCGGAAAATGTAAAGAAGTTTGAAAAAATTCAGTTAAATCGGATGACTGTTCAAAGAAGAATTACCGCATTAGCAGATAATATAGAAGAGCAATTAGCTACGAAATCGAGAAGTTTTGAGTATTTTTCTATAGCGCTCGACGAATCTACAGATATAAGTTCAACTGCTCAACTATTAATATTTTTACGAGGTGTAACGCAAAATTTTGAAGTGAGTGAAGAACTGATTGGTATGAGTTCTTTGACAAGTCAAACCAGGGGAAGTGACATGCTCAAAGCTCTTCTAGAAAAATGTTCTATAATGGATTTGGATTTAACGAAAATATCTGGAATTACAACTGACGGAGCACCTTCAATGGTTGGAAGTACATCTGGGATAGTAACTCTGTTAAAAACATATTTACAAACTAAAAACATAAATACCAAGGAATTAATGCAGTTTCATTGTATTATACATCAAGAGGCCCTCTGTTCAAAATTATTGGGATTTGAAAATGTTATGAAAGTTGTAGTACCTACCGTAAACTTTATAAAATCACGAGGTCTCAATCACCGACAATTCAAACAATTTCTCGAGGATATTGAAAGCGAATATGGTGATCTCCTGTTTTACACTGAAGTAAGGTGGCTAAGTCGTGGGTTGACACTACAGCGATTTCTTAACTTGATTGAAGAAATCCAACTATTTCTGGCAGAAAAGAAAAACGACGTCCCCGAACTCGACAACCCTGATTGACTGTGTGACTTAGCGTTTCAACGAAAACGTAACAAAAAGTAGATGAATAGATGGGTGGATGGGTAGGTTTTATAGGTGGTACAGGTGGATGAATAAATATGCGTATTCATGCATGAACGACTGGATAGAAAGATGTATGAATTCATAAATGGGTGAGTGGATAAAAAGATGGATCCAGAACTCTGCAACACGAATTATGCCATGAAAATGGTGTTTTGATCTATTTTCTGTTTTTGAATGAAATTGGACCAGCTTGTCTGACTTTATGATGATAAATTGGAATTAAACAAGTGAAAAATCATACGTCTAGTGAGCTGGTAGAGTAATTTAATTTTTTATAACTTTCGTTGATCGTAAATGACGTTTTTTGTGACCTGTTTTTTTAATTTTCCCGTTGGGCCAAATCTGAAGGCAGATTCGGATTCAGCGGAAAAAAAATACATGGGTCTGAATACCAGATCCGATACTTTTTTTTATGGGGCTGTGATAATCAACAAACCTTTATTTCCGGATCTTTCCAAACTGTCAGTCTCGTAGTCAATAGGAAGACCTTGTTTATCAGCGATCGGGGAGTCACTTGGGTGTATGAGGAGGTTGCGTTGCACTGTCAATTCATTTATAACGGCATTCATTTGTTTTTTGGTCAGAGTCGTTATTTTTTCTTCAGATTTATCCACGACCATCGCCTCGTGTATCATATCGGGTGGAGGAAAATTCATCATGACATCTTTTCCTCTATCAATGGGTAAGGTCTCGTAATAATTTTCTTCTCTTCGATACATGGTCATATTTGATTCTTTGTGGAACTGTTTCGATTTTACAGCTTTGTACTCTCGTTGGTAGAAATCGTGATGTATCCCTCTTTCGGATGCGGGTCTTGGCGACAGAGCCCTTTCTTGGTCGCGCGTGTCGAAATTATCCGGAGGGAGCGACCTCGTCGGAGACCGTATCCTGCGCATCGCGTTCGTGGATTTGTTTGAATCTCGGTGCAGCGACTGGTCATTTCCAGATCTAAGTATGGGCACGTCTTCCAACCATTTCCTAATACTCCTCTGTTTGCTATCATCTGAAGTCGTACAGTTCTGACATGCACCCAGAGAAGGAAGCTCTGGTAGTTTCCCGCTGTAAGATTTGAAGTCTTGAGGTTCGCAACCCGGACACCCGGTGCAGGTTTTCCTTCTGCTGTTCTCTCTTTTTAGGCTTATAGCGCTGCCCCGTCTACTCACAGACTGTGAATATTCATACGACGGTTCCAGAGGGTAGTAGTTCTCTTCTTCTGGTATGTAGAGCAAACTCGGGCTGAACCTTTTCGTAGCCATCTTCTGTTTGGCTATCGCAATCACCTCGCGAATTTTCGAGAGAAATTCCAAAGCTGCTGGAGGTGGAGCCTACAAAAATGAGGCGATAGAACATTGAAATTGAGGCGGCTAAATGTATGCTTACCAACATCAGTTCTGGTTCAAAGTATGCGGGATTGAAGTATAACTTCTTCCTGGCGGTTCCACTTAGAGCTCTTACATTATCCGGTCTGTCTTCCCTTCCTTCCAAGGTTTCCACTATGGACACGTTTTCTTCTGGAAGCCTTTCATTTGTCGTGGAATCTTGGAGAATTGGTTCGGACGATGAAAATGGGGAAGAACGCGAGCTGAGGTAGTACAGTTCCTTTTGGGGGTGGATCATAGCAGATGTAATTTGCATCTGAAATACAGTTATTGTTGAGGATTAAAATAATATATTACTCCTATACAGGGTTCTTCACGGTAAGTGGCCTATTAAACATTTCAAAGGAACCATAGACAATATGACACTCTGAAATTTTGTTTACGGGGGTTATCAGATATGTTCTCTTCAATGAAAATAATGCCATCAACGTTGATTCACGATGAATGTTCCATGGATATAAAATAGATTTAAAATATCTTCATTAGAATAATTGTTTTGCATTTTTCTTGTCGAGCAAATACTTGGTACTTATAGAATACTGATTGACAATAGTCAATACTAATATTTGCCTCTCAAGGCAAATTTGATGATATTTTAACGTAGTATTATTGAAAATGTAAGTAAACCGCAAATATCTGAGAAAATTGAAACTGTAACCCCTACAATACCTATATCGGTGAAAAGAGAATTTGATTTTCTATAATATGCTGCAGAAAAATACGGGGTGTTCCATTTGAATTTATAAAGTTTTGTTGGTTTTAAGTTTTCAAAACGTAACGTGAAAAATGAGACACTTAGTATAATTTCCTTCAGGCAATTTTGATAGCGAAAGGTTGTTCTTCTTATGTTCTTCGTGTATTCTGAAAAGCAAGTGAAAGCTCCCAGAACGAAGAAAGATATAAGGAATTTTCGAAACGCTTGCATCCGTCAAATTTTTTATAAAATGACGATTATCTCGAAAACGGTTAGATTTAGGTTAGTAGTAGGTAGGCTTTAACATTTTTGACTTATTTGTAATTTATCTTGTCGATAATGCAATAATATATAGGGTGTTCCATTTAAAATAACGAAGTGCTACGTTGATGGCATTATTTTAATTGAAGTGAACATATCTGATAACCCCCTAAACAAAATTTCAGTCATATTGTCTTTGGTTCCTCTGAAACGTCTAATAGGCCACTTACCGTGAAGAACCCTGTATATTTCCGGTTAGTTAAATATATATATACAGAAAAAAGATATATTTGAGTTAAATAGCGCATTTTTTAGTCCAAATAAGTCACTGGATTGCATACAGAGAACTGTAATGTTTATTATATTTGATTTCTCGGATTATTTGAATATTTAAATTGCGTATTTATGTATTTTAGTTAACATTTCGTTTTTTTATGCCAAGTAATTCAGTTTATTTGTGATATGAATTACTTTTTACTTAAATAAATATTTAGTATTTAAATTCAATGTTTATTCATAATGTAAATCCTAAACTGTTTTTTTTCCCCATTTATTCGATACATTCATCAAAGACAGATTTACTTACGTGCTTCTTTCTGTCGTCATGGTGTTGGATGATATCTGGTGTAACATCTGTGTCAGAGCTGTTAGAATCGCTATAGAGCGAATCCGTTGGAGGAAAATGGGAGGAAATCGACAGCAAGGGGTTGTTCTTCACCAGCCCTTCCTCAACGGCTGCTAGGCTCTGGCTGTCCAGTCCGCTTTTGCCACTGGATCCCAAGTTGTTGCGTTTTCTAAGATGAATGTAGAGGAAAACGGAAGCCACATAAATTAAACCAAGAAGGATAGAGCACACTCCTATGGCGATGTATTCAGAAACACTCAAGTGGTCGCTATCGGAGCTGTTTGAGGCTGAGTGAGCGTCAGGGACAAACGCCACTTCGGTTACATCTAAAAAAATATGTAGATATAGAATAATCAAATACCTAACACTATAATATAAAATTTCCTTGTGATGATTAACTAGCTTGTTTTTTTACCCTTAGGTATAAAAATTTTTCAATGATTTATAAACATATTTATAATTTGAATAATTTTATAACATTTTTTTGTACAGTAAAATCATTTTTGTCTCAGTAAATGTTGCATTTTCGAGGTGTACCAAACCTGTTTTTTTAAATAGAATGCCCTGTATATTTTTATATAGAACGTTTTCTAGAATTTCAGTAATAACCTGTAGAGTTTGATAGCTAATCGTATATCTCTAATAATATGCGAGATGGCCAAAACCATAATATTCATAACACAG